CTAAGGATTTTCACTTCTAATATATTCCCATGTGATGCTAATACTGTTGCAGGACTTTTCGATGCAAATCGAGGCAGCATCCTCAGTTCTTGTCTCACAGGAAAGAAGAATATTCATGTGGACATACTCTAGCTTGCAAAGTATGGTTTATTTAGGAAAAAAAAAACAGAGAGCTCCTGCCTTAGTGACAGGAGGGGGCTCCAAGGGAAGAAAACAACCCAGACCTCCTGCCATATTAGTAGGAGAAAGGAAGAAAATCTCAAGTTAATGGTGGAAATGGTGTCTTTTATGCACCATCTTGGGGGGCGGGTTTACATGACGCACCACCAAGGTCAGAAAACAATGGACACTAACGTTTACCCAAAACCATAAGGTGAGAGTCTAAGCTTCCTTCCCCCATCCTGAGGATAAACTGAGCTTTCAATAAAAATAAATCTTTTTAAAACATTTATTTAATTTTATTGCAAAGTCAGCTATACAGAGGAGCGATAGAGAGGAAGATCTTCCATCCGATGATTCACTCCCCAAGTGACCACAATGGCCGATGCTGCGCCAATCTGAAGCCAAGAGCCCGGAGATTCTTTTGGGTCTCCCATGCGAGGGTACAGGGTCCCAAGGCTTTGGGCTGTCCTTGACTGCTTTCCCAGGCCACAAGCAGGGAGCTGGATGGTAAGTGAAGCAGCCCGGACATGAAACTTTGCCGTTATGGGATCCCAGTGCATGCATGGTGAGGATTTAACTACTTAACCCATGGCACTGGGCCCTGCAGCTTAAAGTTTTTAAGAGGCATTGAGATGGGAGGAGACTGCTGCTAGAGGTAGGAGAGTTTCTGGAGGGAGCTGGAGGTCATTACAAACAGGTAAACTGAATCCTGAAGGCAAACTCATCCTCCTAAAGTCCTAAAATTTTCCAAGAATCTTGATTGGCCCAGTCAATTGTAATGGCCCCACATTCCCTGAGGCTGCCTCACACACACAGCACTCTCCTTGCAAGTCACTTCATGTTTTCAGGGACGCAGGGGGCTGAGGGGACACAGAGTTTAGTGTGCTGACTTCTCTGTGGGCCTGGAGAGGCTGGCCTCAGCTCAGTCACTATACTCTCCTCCTTTAACAGCAAATAAAAACAGAAGGGAGCTTGCTCAATCCTCTTGGGGTGATGAGAGTCACAGGTTTAAAAAACAAAAAAGGAGATGAAGGCATTTGGTATGTGAGAAGTCAAGACTTTTCTGATGCAATCAGAGGTCAATTTAGTGAGACTAGGATTGGTTTAACAGAGCAAACGTGTTTATTTATGTTATTTTTTGTTATTGAGAGTATAAACAAAACTGGAAAAAAAACAAAAAAGAAAAACATAGTAATGTTAAAATGTAGAAGCTTTCAGCATAAGAAAAACAAAGCAAGAGCTTTTTTGGATTTCATTTTTTTTTAAAGATTTATTTTATTTTTATTGGGAGCTTTTTTGGATTTCAAACACTTTAGTATTTTATTTATTTATTTATTTATTTATTTTAAAGATTTATTTTTATTATTTTCTCATTGGAAAGGCGGATATACAGAGAGGAGAGACAGAGAGGAAGATCTTCCGTCTGATGATTCACTCCCCAAGTGAGCGCAATGGTCGATGCTATGCCGATCCTAAGCCAGGAGCCTCTTCTGGGTCTCCCACATGGGTGCAGCGTCCCAAAGCTTTGGGCCGTCCTCTGCTGCTTTCCCAGGCCACAGGCAGGGAGCTGAAAGGGAAGGGGGGCTGCCGGGATTAGAACCAGCACCCATATGGGATCCCGGGCGTGCTAGGCGAGGACCTTAACCACTTGCGCCACCGCGCCGGGCCCTAGTATTTTATTTTGAACTTCGTGACGAGAGAAAACACAGTAATTTTTCTTGTTAAAAGCCTCTAGAAATTAATTCAGCCCTGTATGAAAGCTTTTTAAAGATTTATTCATTTTTAATGGGAAAGGCAGATTTACAGAGATTGGGAGAGACAGAGAGAAAGATCTTTCATTTGCTGACTTACTCCCGAAATGGCCATGACGACCAGAGCTGAGCTGATCTGAAGCTGGGAGTCAGTAGCTTCTTCCAGGTCTCCCTTGTGGGTACAGGGACCCAAGGACTTGATCTGTCCTCTGCTGCATTCCTAGGCTGCAAGCAAGGAGCTGGATCAGAAGTAGAGCAGGCAGGACATGAACTGATGGTCATATGGATGCCAGTGCTTGCAGGTAGAGGATTAGTCTGTTGAGCTGAGCTACTGTACCTGCCTCAAGAATATTTTTATTTTTGAAAAGATTTATTTTTATTGGAAAGCCGGATATACAGAGAGGAGGAGAGAGAGAGGAAGATCTTCTGTCTGATGGTTCACTCCCCAAGTGGCCACAGCGGCTGGAATTGAGCCAATCAGAAGCCAAGAGCCAGGAGCTTCTTTTGGGTCTCCCATGCGGGTGCAGGGTCCCCAGGCATTGGGCTGTCCTTGACTGCTTTCGCAGACCACAAGCAGGGAGCTGGATGGGAAGTAGAGCTGCCAGGACATGAACCGGCACCTATATGGGATCCTGGCGAGTTCAAGGCAAGGACTTTAACTGCTATGCTATCATGCTGGGTCCTCAAGACTCTATTTTTAACAGGTGTGTTTGGAGGTTTAAATATGATATGCAGAAACAGCTGTTTGGCACAGCCTGTGAGACCCTGCTTGGGGTGCATCCCCTAGCATAGTGCTCTGGTTGCAGTCCCAGATGCTTAGGAACATAAGTGTTTTCTGTTTTTGTGGTTTCTGTCTTGCCTGGTTGTCTGTGGGGCTGTATGAACTCCAGACTGACAGCCTCTGTGACACCTGACAGGTCATGTAAGCAGAATACTCCTCAGGAAGGAGACCCCTGGTGTGCTTTTTAGATAAGATTTGCTCACTACTCACCAGTTTGTACCGTTTGAAAGTTGCTCGCGTCTAATCCACCAATAGACGCCTGTCAACTTGCTCTTTTTAAAAATTAACAGGGCTCAGCGCGATAGCGTAGTGGTTAAAGTCCTCGCCTTGAATGCACCAGGATCCCATATAGGGAATTGTGTAGAATTGACCTGAAATGTATTAAAACTCTGTGCTGTCCAACTTCAAGGCTGCTGCTCTCCCCCAGCCCTGCTGAACTGGAGACCCAGACTAATCTGGGGGCCCAGACTAATCTGAATAACTCACCCTTGTTAGTTTGCATCTACTTCAGACTCCTGATGATTCCTTGGGATCTCAAAATCTGGGTACAAGACTGCCTTCTGATTGTGGTCTCCTGCTAATATTTACCTCCCCCCACCTTGGGGTGGCCATGGGTGGCGGAAGATCCAGTTCATGAGCTTGGCTCCCTGCCACCCACATGTGACACCTAGATGGAGTATCCAGCTCCATCTTCAGCAGGTGCAGATCTGGCCAGTTTGGGAAGTGAACCAGGGGCTCCAGGATCTTTCTCAAAGCAAACAATATCACGCAACATCATGAAGCAACTGAGCTGCATGCCTAGGCTTCCCACAGGTCATGCCAAGGCTTGACAAAGTTTGTCACCCAGGACCTACCTCCCTATTGTCCTGAATTGCAGAGCCCTAGCAATTCTCTTGAGAAACAGATCAGATGCTACTGGCTAGGGAAGAGACACACTCATCACTCCATGCTGTTGCATAACTGTGCTTAAACAATCTGATGCAGGTCTTTGCATTTTACTCAAGGGGAAATTTGGGATTGATGTTATGTCTTCTGTAAAATAATACATAATCCAGGGTGGCAGGTGGCATTTGCCTTCTGGCCAATTAGTGCCCAGCTGTTCCATTTACTCCCAGCACTCTGTTTGGGACCTTGGAAAGCAGACAAGGAAGGGCCCAGGCTTTGGCCCCTTCACCCATGGGGCTAGGTTGATGGAAGCTCCAGGCTCCCAGCTTTGGATCAGCTCAGCTCTGGTTACAGTGGCCATATGAGGAGTAAAACAGTGGATGGAAGACCTCTCTCTCTCTCCTTTCTCTGTAAAATCTGCCTTTCAAATAAACATAAATAACACAATAACATGGATAACAATTTAAATTAGCAATAATAATGCAATACTCACGTGTTCAAAACCGAAACAAAAACACAAAGCTGACCATCTTGCTGGCCTACGCAGCTATCACTGGGGAGAAATTTTGGGAAAAGGCTAGACAAGAAAAAGAAGGGCCTGACCTGTGGTATTCCAAGACCCTCTCTGCTAATTCTTGTTCAAGGCTGGATTAGAAATCAATATTTGGGCCCAGTACAGTAACCTAGCAGCTAAAGTCCTAGCTTTGAACATGCTGGGATCCCATATGGGCCCCAGTTCTAATCCCACCAGCCCTGCTTCCTATCTAGCTCCCTGCTTGTGACCTGGGAAAGCAGTCAAGGATCACCCAAAGTCTTGGGACTCTGCACCCATGTAGGAGACCCGGAGGATGCTCTGGGTTCCTGGCTTTGGATCAGCTCAGCTCAGTTCCAGCTGCTGTGGCCACTTGGGGGGTGAAACCAGCAGATGGAAGATCTTCCTCTGTTCTTTGTATATGTGACTTTCCAATAAAAATAAAATAAAAATCTTTTAAAAAGAAGTCAATATTTGATGAACTGACTTTAAAGTCAAAAGAGCAGTGAAACACGAATGTATACAGGTCATTCGGATAGAATTTTGTATATCATTTGAAGTCAGACAACAGCTTGGAAAGTCATTCCAAATTCACATTCTGAGCGTTCTAAGCAATACGTTGCTAACTTGCCGTTTTCCAAAATCCCACCGCCTGCTGGGGAGTCATCCACTTCTGCCACGTGACTCTTAGAACACTGTACCGCCAAGCTGAGGGTCCCTAGGGCAGGCTGAGGTCCCTCTGCTCCCGCCTTGGGACTGTCCCCTCCACCCCGTCCAGGACCCTTCTCCCCAGCGCGGTCCCCTGCGGGCGGTGTGGTGAGAAGTGCGGGCCCAGGGCGCCCTAGGCGGGGCCAAGGATTACGTGCTGCGCGGGGCGGCCGGAGCAGCGGGTACTTAAGGCGGAGGCCGGCCCGGGGCTGCACTCTCCGGCGTCTGAGCAGCTCGCGGGACTGTCTTTCCTTCGCGTCCTCGCCGCACCCGTCGGTGGGTGCCCGCGCAGCACGCGCTGTGGCGGGGCTGGGGAGCCGGGGAGCTGGGCGGGCGGGTATTTCTCGGTCCTGGGGACCGCGGGGCGCCGCATCTGCCGGCGCGGCTGGGGCGGGGAAGGAGCGGGCTTCGGGATTCATGAGGCGTCTTTCCTGTTCGCTGCTTTGTTGGGGCTACGTGATGGTGGAGGAAAAGACTTGCTTGGCGTCCGGCGAGACGTGATTTAAAGGGGACACGCGTTGGGAAACCGGTCTGAGGTGGAATTTTGTGGGGTGCACAGTGACTGTAGGGGTAGCAGTCATGGCGCCGGACTGCCACCTCGGCGCAGCTACTTCCCATTTCTTGCGGAACGGGGCCCTGGTGGTGGCAGGTTGGCTGGCGCGTACCTTGGGGTACCCCAGCCGCTTCCATGCTTGTCCTTGCCAGCTTGGAGGCTTGGTACAGAGGCAGTTTTTTTGCGGGCGGAGGGAGGCTTTGGAGATCCCCAGTGAAGCTGAAATGCGCTATGCAAAGTTTCTGGTTCCGCGGAGCCACGCCTCTCTCTCTTGGCCTTGTCTCCCCAAGGCCTTGTGGAGGGGGCGGGCGGTGAAGCCCTCCCACAGTGCTCCAACTCTGTCCAGACGCTGACCCCCAAAGACTGCTCACTGACCAGAAGAGGTCTTCCGTTCGAAATCTTTTCCAGACAACGGCTTTCACTTGATTGGTGTTTTTGTGAACAGATACTATTTTGGAAAAGCAATTCTAGTGTCGTAGTGGAGTTAGGAGTAGGAGCCACCACTTTGCCGGCTCACCTCCTCTCTGTTGATAAGTTTCTGTGTAATGTCTGAATGCTTGCCAGGGGTGTTTGTGAGTCGGTGGATGGGGGGAACAGAAGGCTAAGCTCCTCAGGAAGGTTTTTGTTTTGTTTTTTTTTTTCTGCCTGAAATGAACATATTTTGGGGCTGGAAATTAATCAAGGGAGACTTCTCTTGGCGTCCTGAAATAAATATCTCTTCCATAGGATCCTTTCTCCAAGAAGAAAAAAATGGCATCCGTTGCAGTCGATCCACAATTGGTATGAATTTTATTCAATTTTTCTTATTTGAGCAGGAAAGATGACTCCCTTAGCTTCCCCCGCCCCTCCCCGAGGGCTGAAGCCAGGCTCGCAGTCCAGGTGGGTGACAGGGATGGGAGTTAACTTCCTCTGTTTGGTTGCAGAGCGTGGTGACCAGGGTCGCCAACCTACCCTTGGTGAGCTCCACCTACGATCTCTTGTCCTCTGTGTACGTCAGCACAAAGGATCATCATCCCTACTTGAAGTCTGTGTGTGAGATGGCAGAGAAGGGTGTGAAGACCGTGACCTCCGTGGCCTTAACTGGTGCTCTGCCCCTCATCCAGAAACTCGAGCCACAGAGTGAGTCCTTAGTTCCCCCTTGAGATCCAGTCCAAGGAACTGGTCAGGGATGAGCCCCTGGACACCCAGCTGCAGGATCCAGTCCTCCTTCCTTGCTGAAGCAGTGCCCTCTGTTCTAGGAACCACTGTATGAACCTTTGTGTCCTGGGAGGCATGCTACCTACCAGTGGCTCGTGCTCACTAGACTTTTAAATAGAAAAAAATCCCCAGATGTGTTTTTCTGTTGGTGACCAAGACCATAAGGGAAGCATCAGGGATGAGCGAAATAGTTATCTACAGTCTACAGTGTACAGAAATGTTTCCTTTTTTTGTTAGTAGCTTCTTTATGGAGGTGAAATTAACATACCATATGATTTGCTTGTTTAAAATGTATACTTCCATTGTTATTTTATGGCAGTCTGTACCCCCATTCATCTTGGGAACATTTTCATTACTCCTTAAAGAAACCTCTTCTAAGTTTCTGTTTGGAGTGATGCAAGGGTCTGGAAATGAATGGCAGCGGATGGTTGCCAACACTGCCAGGGAATATAATGCTTCTTAATTTACACGTAAAAATGCTGAAAATGTGATATTTGGGTGTTTTTTTGAATATTTTATCAAAATTTAAAAAAAAAGAGACCTCATGTCCATTAGCAGCCACTATTTCCTTCTAGTCTCCCTTAGGCAGCTATTATACTTTCTGCATTTGTAGATTTGCCTATTTCAGATACTCATATAAATATACTTGTAAAATAAGTGGCCTTTTGCGCCTGATTTCTTTCACTGTGCTTTGGTATATCAGGACATCATCTCTGCGTGTGATAATATTGTTAGGTAGATAGATCATGTTCATCAGGTGATGGGCCTTTGGAGCTTTTGATTTTTGACTCCAATTTTTTGGAGATTATGACTCATGCTTTTGTGAACGTTTTCTGGGGTGTGTAGTTAGTAGAATTGCGGGGTCTTCTACATATGCTTGAACTTTTGAGGAACTGGCGGACTGTTTTCCAAAGTGAGTCCAGCGTTTTCCATTTCCACCAGCAGTGATGAAGATCCTGATTTCTGTTCAGCATGAGTTGCTGTTGAATAATGACGTGAATCATTTCTCCCGGATGGTTAGGCCAAGGACTTTATAATTACAAGGGACTTTTCAAGACTAGTCCCTCCCTTGATAAACTTGATAGTATCCTTGGCTTGGGCATTGTTAGGAGAAACTTGGACTAAAATCTAGGCCCTTTTAGGGAGATGCAGGGTGCTATTACATATTGTTTCCTGGTAAGAAACCAAAATGTACCTGAATGTACTGATCCAAGTATAGGCAGGGAGTAAGGTAGCATGAGATGTTATTCCTAGAATAAGGGTTCTCAAAGCTTGGCTACTCTTGGCATTAGCGTTACTGGCCCGTTGATGAGGAACAAGATCCCTAGCCAGCTTCCTGCTTGGTCACTGCTTATGTGTGCTCTTTCCTCATTACCTCTTGCTCGCCTTATTACCTTGTTAGTGGAATAAGGTTGGCCAGCTTCCCGTCAAGCCTTTGCCTAAATAGAAATACCAGGCAAGGTTTTTGTCATGATAATAAAACATCAACATTCTTTGTTTCTTTGTTTTTATAGATAAAAGGCAGTTAATGTATTTGTTCTAAGTCTACACTGTTACATGACTATTTTCTCATTTGTGATTCTTCTAGTTGCTGTTGCTAATACCTATGCTTGTAAGGGGCTAGACAGAATTGAGGAGAAGTTGCCTATTCTGAATCAGCCAACAACCCAGGTGAGTTGGGACAAGGTGCCGAGATGTATTTGCATTTAGCACAGGATATATATGTTGCAAATGATAGATACTTATGTTCATCTTGGACCTGAATTTTTGTGTGTTGAGGTAGCAGTTATTCCCTTGCTTCCTGCACTTATTTATTTGAATGACAGAGTGGATGAGTGAGTGCGAGATCTTCAGCTGCTGATTCATTCTCTGAGATGTGTGCAACTGCTAGGCTGGATCATGTCAAAGCCACGTGCCCAGTGCTCCATCCAGGTCTCCTACGTGTCCCTATGTAAAGTGCTATACCATCCCTGAGTCCTTGTATTTCATAACAGGTTCATCTAAAAACAAAAGATACTTGATCATGTTGACAAGTGAATGAACTTTGTATCTCATTTCTTATTTTGCACCCCAAGTCATCTTAAAACAAATAAAACATGATAAGGAAAATCAGGCCCATCAGACTTTGGTGATAGCCTTCACATCCTAATCAGTGATATTTATGGGTGCGGATACTTGTAAACTATGTAAACAACATAAAAAAATAAAGTTATTTAAAAAAAAGAGCCAAAAACCTTAGTGATTCTCTGAAGACCTAAAGCTAGAGTGAAAGAACCAACCACCCTTTTAAGATTTATTTTATTTTATTTTATTTTATTGGAAAGTCAGTTATACAAAGAGGAGGAGAGACAGAAAGGTTTTCCATCTGTTGATTCATTCCCCAAGCAGCCACAATGGCCAGAGCTGTGCGGAACTGGAGCCAGGAGCCAGGAGCCCGGAACCTCTTCTGGGTCTTTCACACAGGTGCAGGGTCCCAAGGCTTTCGGCCATTTCCCACTGCTTTCCCGGGCCACAAGTAGGGAGCTGGATGGGAAGTAGAGCAGCCAGGATTAGAGCTGGTGCCTGTATGGGATCTTGGCATGTGCAAGGTGAGGACTTTAGCTGCTAGGCAACCACACTGGGCCCCTTAGTTTGGGTCGTAAATGTGTGTATGTGTGCCCATGTTTCTCCATGGTCAGAGGCCTGCTTTTCCATTTGTAGGTTGTTGCCACTGCCAAAGGTGCTGTGATTGGGGCTAGAGATGCTGTGACGACTACCGTGACTGGAGCCAAGGACTCTGTGGCCAGCACGATCACAGGGGTAGTGGATAAGACCAAAGGAGCAGTGACTGGCAGCATGGAGAAAACCAAGTCCATGGTCAATGGCAGCATTAACACAGTCTTGGGCAGTCGGATGATGCAGTTTGTGAGCACTGGGATGGAAAATGCGCTCACCAAATCAGAACTACTGGTGGACCAGTACCTCCCCCTCACTGAGGAAGAGCTAGGTAAGTTCAAGTCTGTCTTGAAATGGTATTTTGTATTTTATTTATTTTTTTTTTTAGGGTTTATTTATTCTGAAAGATTTACACAGGGAGAGATCAGAGATCTTCCATTTGCTGTCTCACCCCCTCTGGCCACAACAACCAAAACTGAGCTAGGCTTGAATCGGGAGCTGTGAGCTTCTTCCAGGTTGCCACATGGGTGGCAGGGACCCAAACACTTCAGCCATCTTCTGCTCCTTTTGCCTGGCCATCAGCAGGGCATTGGATCTAAAGTGGAACAGTCAAGACACAAGCCAGTGCCCATATGATATGCTGGTGTCACAGGTGACAGCTTGACTTGCTGTAATGCAACACTGGCCCAAGTATTTTGTATCTTAAACTGATTTTTAAAAATAGCTTCATTGAGATATAACTTATATGCCTAGAAGTTCACCTGTCCATCAAACCTTAGTGACAGCCTTCTCATCCTTAGGTGAACCTCAATAGAACATATTACCCCTGAAAAAAATTCCTTTAGAGCTGTTTACATCCAGTCTTGATCTCCCTAGGCACTCCTATCTCAATTCGCCTTTCATGTTGAGTTGTATATAAAAAGTTTTGAAACTTTAGGAGAAACTAACTTCAAAAAACACTGTCTGTAAATGAATGGGTTGTATTGAATCATTAAAAAGAATTGTTGTCATAGCAAGCATATTAGTGCTTACTACATTCTGGTGGAAAGAAACGGACACATAACATGTATGTGTAGCCGGGATAATAATGTGTTCAAAGTTGTCTAACCCATTAGCAAATGTGTACAATCTTAGGAAAATGAGTGTGTAATGGTTAAGACAATAGTGTAGAATTGATAAAGACAGATTTATTACTGACTATAATCCCTAAAGATTTTTTGTTGTTGTTGTTGTTTCTTTGTTTCTAACTTAAGAAAAAGAAGCCAAAAAAGTTGAAGGATTTGATACGGTTCAGAAGCCAAGTTATTACGTTAGGTTAGGATCCCTGTCTGCCAAGCTCCGCTCACGTGCCTACCAGCAGGCTCTTGACAGGGTTAAAGAAGCTAAGCAGAAAAGCCAAGAGACCATTTCTCAGCTCCATTCAACCATTCACCTGGTGAGTACAACTTCATTATAAGACACCTGAAGCAAATTCATGCATCCTGAGGGAGGAGAGTAAATGTAATCATAGATGATGTGATGGTACAATGGACTGAAAAAGCAGTTGAGTCACCGTAAAGGAAGCAGCCACGGTAAACGGTTGAGTACCTGGAGTAGATGAGTACATCTCTGAGGGGTCAATACAGTCACTATAGATCTGTCACGGGATGTGTCAGTCACAGTGAAGAGAAGGGGTTGTGTTGGGTACTTCTGGAGCATGAGGGACTACTACCAGAAACTTTAGGAAAATCACAGATACAGTTTTGGGAATTCCAGTATGATTAGTGTTGCAAGAGATTATAACACTGCAGGCCAACAAATGGTGCCTGATTGAGTTGATATATCACACAATCCACCACTGTGTAGCCATTAAAGATTGCCAAGCTAGAGGACAAGATGTACTGCCCTGCAGGAAGTAAGTCTTCCTGGAAGGGGAGACAGGTGGCTGGCAACAGGGAAGAGGAAGGTTGAGTTGCTCTCTCTTTTGTAATTCTTATCCTTCTTCATGCTTCTTGAAATTTTAGTTGTCTTACCTATACCAAACTGAAAGTAACTTTGGAGTTAATGTTTAATAGTTAAATAAAAGCAATAAAGGGCCATTATTATTTGGTTGACTTAAACTTATTGATAATAATAGCTTATAGCTTTCATGAAATTTGTGTGGAAATTCTTGGTGTTTATTTGTTAATTAATATAGGTCTGCAAACAGTACCCTATGAATGTCTCAGTGGTTTGTTCCTTTATCTTATTTCAATGTGTTCTAGATTGAATTTGCCAGGAAGAACGTGCATAGTGCCAACCAGAAAATCCAGGATGCCCAGGATAAGCTCTATCTCTCGTGGGTGGAGTGGAAGAGAAACATTGGCCATGATGATACTGACGAGTCTCACTGTGCTGAGGTAAGATGACGGTCATTGTTCTCATGCAATTCTTACCAAACTTTTCGTTGTTCCCATAACTCCTCTTAGCGTACTTTTATTAAAAACTTGCATAATATGTAAATAGATTGCTTGATATATGACAGAAAAGTTGGGGTTAGCACTGTGGTGTAAGCTACTGTCTGCAGTGCTGGAGTCTCATATGAGCACCAGTTCCGGTACTGGCTGCTCCACTTCTGGCCCAGCTCCCTGCTGGTGTACCTGGAAAAGCAGCAGAAGATGGCTCAAGTGCTTCGGCTGCTGGTTCTTGGCTTCAGATCGGCTTGGCTCTGGCCATTGTGGGCACCGGGGAAGTGAACCAGCAGATGAAAGATCTTTCTCTCTCTTTCTCCTTCTCTCTAAATCTGCCTGTCCTAGCATCAAGCTGGAGTGAGGAGCTGGAACTGGATATCAAATCCAGGCACTCTGATAGGGGATGAGAGCCTTTAATTTTATTTTCATTTAATTTGAAATGTACTGAGACAGAAATCGCCCTTCCAGTGCTTTATTCCCCAAATGCTTGCATTACTCAAGGCTCGGTCAGGCTGACCCCAGACACCTGAAACTGAAACCACGTCCCCCATGTCAATGGCAGAGAGCCATGGACTTGAGCGTTAATGCTGTGTCCCAGGGGTACAGCAGCAGGAAGCTGGAATCAAAAGTGGAGCTGGGGCTTCATCCTGGACACCCCATGTGGGAAGTGAACATACCAAGTGGCATATTTTTCTTCCTTTTTTTTTTTTTCTTATTTATTTGAAAGCTAGAATTAGAAGTAGGAACAAAGAGATCTTTTTCTGCTGGTTTGCTCATCCAATGGCTGCAAGTGGGCCAGTCCAAAGCCAGGAGCTTCTTCAAGGTCTTCCACATGAATTCAAGAGCTGTTTTCCAGACCATTAGCAAGGAGCTGGATTGCAGTTGAAGCAGCTGGGACATGAAATGGCAACAGCACCTGTATAGTGTCACAGGCAGAGACTTAACCAGTTATGCCATGGTACCAGCCTTCAAAATAAATAAAATCCTTTTTCTTTGTTTCTTATTGATTATTAAAAGGGCATTTCAGATTTACGAAGAGACGGAAAAACCAAGAACTTTTTAAAGTCAGCTTGTACATAGTTCTTTTGGAGCCAACAACTAATTCTTCAGTTTGTTTTTATTTTTAGCACATTGAGTCACGTACTCTTATTATTGCCCGCAACTTGACTCAGCAGCTGCAGACCACGTGCCACAGCCTCCTGTCCAACATCCAAGGACTGCCACAGAACATCCAGGATCAGGCCAACCACTTGGGAGTGATGGCAGGTGACCTCTACTCCGTGTTTTACAACGCTGCCTCCTTGAAGGAAGTGTCTGACAGCATCCTCATTTCTAGCAAGGGGCAGCTGCAGAAAATGAAGGAATCTTTAGATGATGTGATGGATTACCTTGTTAACAACACGCCCCTCAACTGGCTGGTAGGTCCCTTTTATCCTCAGCTGACTGAATCTCGGGATGCTCAGGCCCAAGTTACAGAGATGTGCAACATCAGCCAGGAGGCGCAGCCATCTGAGCACAAAACTCAATGAATCTATTGCTGTCACCAGCGCACGAGGCAGCCTTTTCATATGTCAAAATTAACCTGCCAGACAGCACTACATTGGGGAAAACTAGTCGGCTAGAAAACACGGGGCCTATCACTGTAGTAGTAATTTCCAGCTTTTTCACAATTTCTGTATATGCAGATGAGTTCTATGTACCCATTGGTAACAATGGAAATGATAAATTTGTCAGTGCCTAGCCAGAACTCATCAACAGTTCAAGTGTACTTTGATCTCATTCTGTGGCCATTTTGTTGGTGCTGTTACTGTTTCTATTGAATAAAAACGTTTCCATAGGGCTGTGGTATGAACGGGCATCTGTTCCAGTACAACCTGAGCAGGTCTTGTCACAGGGTATCTTATGATGCATGCTTGTACAATTTGATTGAACTCTATTCCTTAGAAGGGATGCTACTTTTGAATCAATAAAACTCATTGTAGATCAGTTTTATGTTGTTTGTTCCATGTGCTTTGTCTTGCTTTCATAGAGCTGCTTGGCCTGCATGATGGGATCGTTATTATGCATGTATGAATTTCGGTTGGGCTGTTGAGTGTTAGCATTGAAAGACTAATGTTACAAATGCAGTGCTTAGTAATAGGTTTCAAACAGTGTAAAAAAAGAGATTTGTGTGCATATTAAAATTTTACTAGGTGACAGTTCTGTTTATTTGCCAATTTACTGGACCCCTGAGAGAAAGAACATAATTTTCAAGTCAGTAAAATCACTTAATCATGGCTAATACCTTGCTCAAAAGAATCAAAACCGAAAGAAAGCAAATGGATCACAGTTGGCAGCAGTCTCACATAAAGACAATGGGCCTTTCTTGCTGAAAGGTCAACTAAAGTGTAAGCCCTAATGTGAGATCATTTCATGTCCAGTCTCACCATGTTGGAAGGTAGTTACGACATCAGCTTTTGAGGAGAGGACCATGTGAGGATAATTACAAGTAAAAAGACTTTGAGCTCCCTGTAGAAAAGGGATCTTATACTTCCTGCTAAAGTTCCCAGACTTCTAGCCCCTTTAGTGTGGTGGTCAGTTAATTAGAAACGATCATGAAATCAATCTCCTTGTCAAAGTTACCATATTCCAAACTGTTTTTGAACAAGTCCCTGTTTCACAAATAGAAATAGAGTAGCAAGCTGCTGTCTATTCTAGCTAAGAGGTGGGTGGGGTGTCCTTCAATAGAACAAATGTCTTAAGCTGCATTTGTTTCCTCCTTCTGCCCTGACTCGCCCCTTTCCATAAAACAAGGCAACAGCTGGGACTAGGCTGTGCTGAGGCTGGAAACTGGGAGTCCACTCCTGTCTGTCATGTGACAGGGACCCAAGTATGTGAGCCATCACCTGCTGCCTCCCAGTGTGCATGTTGGCAGGAAGCTGAATTGGAAGTGGGATAGCCAGGCACTTTGATAGAGGATTTGGGCATCTTAACTGCTATTCCAAATGCCTGCTCCATCACTGGAATTCTTAAAGTTGCTTTTTAACGGATAGTGCAGATAGGGAGTTTAGTTTCTGGGAAGGACTTTGCTGGTGTATGGGGCTTCCGGGATTTAGCCTGTGGTTTTACATGTCTGTCCACAGTGATGCATTTTTAAAATAACTCCTGGTAAAATTTTTTGTAGCCAAATCTACCATGATCTCTCCTGTCTTTGCTTCAACAGTGCAAAACTGGTTAATTGCCGTTAACTGGGCAATTATTTGGCTGTCAGGATGCATATTCTCTTATCCTGAACATACACTTCTGTGTTTATTATAGACGTGGTAGTGCTATACGAATTGCTTATGGGAAGGAAACAAGTCTCAAGACTATATACTTCCTCCTGAGTCAGGACAGAATGAAAGGCAGAACACTGCCAGCCCTTGCTTCTCACTACTAGCCGTGCACACTGACCATGGTTTCAACTTAATGCCTCACATACAGCCCATTAATTGTCAACATGTCTCAAAACTCATAGTGTCCTTGCTTCTCTGAGCTTGTGCTTAAGGCAGCAGACCATTTTAGTTCAAGGGTCATTTTTCTTTTAAGAAACTCAGTTCTGAATACAGAAAAACCTGACTAACCCTAATATAGCACAAGTATCTGACCATGGTATATCTGTAACCAGTTGGCCTTATGAAGCCAAGCACAGTGTGTTCCAGTATCATTTTTTCTTTTGCATGTAATAATCGGGTTTAACTCCTTGGCAAAAGAAAAAAAAAAACATACAAAGAAACAAGATGTCCTGGCCATTAATGTCTGAGCCTTATTTTATCACTAAAGCAAGGTTGATGATGCCTTGAGTGATGGCAGCAGTATCACACTGGAGTGTTGTTTGCTCATGTATGCTAGAGGCATGGCGGTATCTATCATCTGTGACATAATATTTGTAAGTTGCTGGTTTGGCTATCCAGTGTGAGTGCATAATACCAGATTGTGTGGGAAAGTAAGCCTACTCTGACAAAAGCATTTTTGGAATTCAGGAATTAGTAAAGTGGAAACTTATTAGATTTCCCAGAGGTTTTTTTTTTTTTTTTAAGATTTATTTACTTTTTATTACAAAGCCAGTTATACAGAGAGACAGAGAAAGTTCTTCCATCCATTGATTCACTCCCCAAATGGTTGTAGCGGCTGAAGCCAAGAGCCAGGACTTCTGCGTCTCCCACATGGGTGCGTGGTCCCAAGGCTTTGGGCCATCCTCTACTGCTTTCCCAGGCCACAAGCAGGGAGCTGCATAGGAAGCAAGGTGGCTGCTGGCACACACAAGGTGAGGACTTCAGCCACTATGCTACTGCGCCAGGCACAGAGGTATTGGTTTTTGATTATCACTTCATACATAAGGGGAGGAGAAAGTGTGGAGTGGATATTTGTGCACAAATCTTTATGAAATTGACTCTAAAGGATGCCTGGAAGAGCAGGTGCAGATAGGTGAAAGGAAGACCCTCTGCTAGGTTGCCCTTGGATTCTTTCTTGTCCTTAATTAGGCCTCAGTTGTGAACCATCTCCAAGTGTGGCCCAGCACTAAGGTCTGCATATGTGGTGGTCTGGCAAGATGTGTTTCCCAAAAACCAAGGTATTGATTGCTTATATCTCAAAGTACAGTGGCTTTATGCCACCTTCCTAACAGGTATTCTAGAGAATATTATGTAATATTTCATTATAAATACTTGATAAGGAAAACATGTTAAATAATTATACAATTGAATGTCTAAATTCCCAGATGGAAAGATAAATTGGGAAGGTAATAACAGTGGACTATTCAAAGAGAGAAAATAAAGGAAGTCTCTTAGGGGAGATGGTGTAGCAGTGAATTTGCTGCTTAAGACAGCTGTTTCCCATTTGTGATGGCCTGGTTAGAGCCCCAAATCCTCCACTTCTGATCAAACTTCTTGCTGATGTGTTCCATGGGAGGCAGCTCAAATTCTTAGGGGACCCACAATGAATTCAGGTTCCCAGTGTTGGCCTAGTCTGGCTTTAAAGTTAAAATAAATAAAAAGAGAACAGCAGTATATTAACAGGTGATGTGTTGGTTTAAGATGCTGTTGGCAATGCCAGCATCCCGTAATAGACTGCTGATTCTAGTATCTGCTGCTGTGCTTCCAGCATAGCTTCCTGCTAATGTGCCTGGGAAAGCAGCAGTATGTGAGTCCTTGGTACATGTCAGAGACCAGGATGGAGTTCCTGGCTCCTGACTTGAGCCTGACTCAGCCTTCGTATTATCTCTTTCTCTCTCCCTCCCTTTTCCTTTCCCTTTCTCTCTGGCACCACCCCCTCTTTAATCTGAATTTTAAAAATGTCTCAAATGAATAGAATGCAGAGCAGTTAACAGCAGTTAGTTGAATGTTGTACAGTAGACACTGACCAGTTCCCGAGGCTGGGAATTCTAACCTTGCCATCAGACTCTCCTTAACCAACAATAAGGCATTGGTGGACAAAGTACCAGTTTAGGGCAAGGGATATGCACCAGCCCACTCACCTGTCCCAAACTGTTCAGTAAAGGAAAAGAAGCAAGCACACCCGAGATGCTCCTGGCTATCCCCGGAAATACACCACACCATTGAGCTGCATAAGCAGCCTGTAGTGGATGCTAAGAAGCTTCTAGTAAAACAAGGTTAGTCTTAAGATGCTCAATATTACAGCTAACTGTTCTTATTCTTGTATGGTCTCTTTACAGCCCTATTTATTAGAATTACTTTTGCATAACAAACTTTATGCAAAACAAATTCAGGTTTCTTTTCATTTCATTATTTATGTTTGATTTCAAGATCAAATCAGTTTTCTTTTTCCAATCCTATGTCATGTTTATTGGCATTGCATGCACACTCATCTTTACCAGCAAGTTAAATCCCTACAGATAGTGTTTCTATTCCTGTATAACCTCACTTAATCAGGGCTCTGGGCCACCATTAGTCCAGCTTCATGCAAAATGTATAAAGGCAGCTCACCCTCAATATGTTTAGTGCCACCTACTGGTAATTTGTTACAATAGGCAAGTGACTGTGTACCTGTTGAAGGTGAACAGCCTGCAAAATGTTTGCAATGTCTCAGAGAGTTTGAACTTGAAATTCCACCTTCATAGAGTTGATAGCCTGTGGCTCCCCTTGGCTGCGCTCCTGTTACCTTCACAGCTCTCAAGTAGTTTTGGTGATAGTGACACTGAGGAGAGTAATAGAACCTGGACACTAGCCATTCTGTATATACGGAAGGTGAGTTATTTGTGTGACTCCTACATCATCTCGGAGTAGAGGAGATTTTTAAGGTGGTCATTGTGAGGACTAAAACTCTAAATTCTCTGCAAAGAAAAATTCTGCAAAGAAATCTACTTCAGCCCAACATTACCTGCTCTGTGGATGACAGGGACTTAAAGAGTAAAAACTGTTTATTGAGTACCATCTCTAAGCTAGGCGCATCTATTTCTTAACTGCAAACTCAATTTGTTCTTTTCCTCACTTGAGAGATGAAGCAGCTGAGATTGAAAAAGGGGTAAATGGCAGGCTGGGGGCTTAGCACAACCTTCCTGCTTATGTGAAAGTGCAAGTTTTTCCCCCTTTCAAACTCTAAACCTCTCATAGGAGACAATTGCAGCTTACTTTCTTGTTTGAGTCCCCCAGAAAATCTCTCTGCTTACTGCCTTGTGTGTTGCAGCTTCCTGTTCTGTTTTACATTTATTTAGTTTTTTCTTTTTAAGATAAATCTTTTGAAAGAATTAGAGAGGGAGAGACAGAATGAAACTTCAAGCATTGGTTCACTCTCTAGATGCTGTCAATAGCCAGGAAGGACCTTGCTAAGCCAAAGCCAGGAGCCAGGAACTCCTTCCTGCTCTCCCACATGGCTATCCGGGCCCTGACCCTGGTATATTGGCAGAAAGTTGGGTTAGAAGCTGTACAGCTGGAACTTAACCTGGCATGTTAGTTGGGATGCTGTCATAGCAAGTGACAGTCTGAATAGGCTGCCACAATGCTGGTTTTTATTTCAAGTATAAAAAGAAATTTTTAAAAAAGATTTATTATTTATTACAAAGTCAGATATACAGAGAGGAGGTGAGACAGAGAGGAAGATCTTCCGTCCAATGAATCACTCCCCAAGAGACCTCAGAGGCTGGAGTTGCGCCAGTCTGAAGCTAGGAGCCTGGAGCTTCATCTATGCCTCCCACGCAGGTGTGGGAACCAAGATATTAGGCCATCCTTGACTGCTTTCCCAGGCCACAAGCACGGAGCTGGATTAGAACTGGTGCCCACATTGGGATTCCGGCATGTTCAGGGCAAGGACTTTAGCCACTAAGCCACCGCGCTGGACCCCAAAGAGTTTTCTTCTTCAATTTCTAGACAATTCACAAAGGGTTTATATTTTTAGAAGTCAGATTTATAGAAAAATGGGGTTATTGTTTTAAAGAATTAAAATGATGGATATATAGAAATGCTTTACATCTTATATTCTCAGTGAAGTCTGCCTTTAGTAGTGTCTGCAGCTAGTTCGCTTTTGTTTTTATTTGAAAGGCAGAGATAGAAATACAGATAGAAAGCTCTCCCATATACTGGCTCATTCTCCAGTTGCTGCAGTGGTCAGAGCTAGGCTGGCACGGAAGCCAGAACCGGAAAAGTAACGCATTTCTCTTACATGGTTGACAGGGCTGCAGTTCCTAGAGGCCTTGCCACTGCTTGCTAGGTTCCCCACTGGTGGGATTGGTCAGGAGTTTGTGCTGAACCAAGATACCAGCATCTTTTATTATTTTTATTATTGGAAAGTCAGATATACAAAGAGGAGGAAAGACAGATTTGGAAGAACTTCTACGCGTTGATTCACTCCCCAAGCAGCTGCACAGACTGGAGCTGAGCCGATCTGAAGCTAGGGGCCAGGAACCTCTTCTGGGTCTCCCACATGGGTCCAGTGTCCCAGGGCTTTGGGCCATCCTCAACTGCTTTCTCAAGCCACAAGCAGGGAGCTGGATGGGAAGTGGGGCCACTGGGACACAAACCAGTGCCCATATGGGCTCCCGGTGTGTGCAAGGCAAGGGCTTTGGCCACTAAGCTATCATCAAGCTGGGAGAATACCAGCATCTTAACTGCTAGGCTAAATGCCTGCTTTGTCAGGTGTCTTTTTTGTTTTTTTTTTTAAGAGTTAATTTTGGGCCCGGCGTGGTGGCGCAAGTGGTTAAAGGTCCTCACCTTGCCGCCCGGGATCCCATATGGGCGCCGGTTCTAATCCCGGCAGCCCCACTTCCCTTCCAGCTCCCTGCCTGTGGCCTGGGAAAGCAGCAGAGGACGGCCCAAAGCTTTGGGAACCTGCACCCGCGTGGGAGACCCGGAAGAGGCTCCTGGCTTCGGATCGGCATAGTATCGGCCCGTTGCGCTCACTTGGGGAGTGAATCATCGGACGGAAGATCTTCCTCTCTGTCTCTCCTCTCTGTATATCTGCCTTTCCAATGAAAAAATAATAAAAATAAATCTTTAAAAAAAAAAAAAAAAAAAAGAGTTAATTTTATTTGAAAGTCAAAGCTACAAAGAGAGAAAGAGATGTTCATCTGCTGGTTCACCCCTGAGATGGCCTTAATGGCCAGAGCTGGGCCAGGTCAAAGCCAGAAAACATGAGCTTCATCTGGGCTTCCCATGATGCCAGCCCTCCTGTCCTTTTGGGTTTTTTTGGGGGGGGGGGAGGCGGGAGTGGGGGAAGTCTTCCACTGCTTTTCTCATGCCACAAGCAGGGAGCTGGAAGAGAAGTGGAACAGTCGGGACATGAACTGGTGCCCATATGGGATCCTGGCATTTCCAAGGAGTGGACTTTAGGGGTCCAAGTTCTTGGGCCCCTAACAGCCATACAGAATTCCAGGCTGCTGGCTTTAGTCTCATATAGCTCCAGCTGATGGCACCATTTGGGGTGTGAAACAGCAATAGAAGATCTGTCTGTCATTCTTTCAAATTAAATAAAGCCTTAGAAAATGAGAAGGAAGAAAGGAAGGAAGAAAAAGAAAACAAGCTCTGGATAAAGCAAGATTCGCTTACATGTAGTATCTGTGTTGTTGCATGTAGACCTGATAATTCACCTCACTGGTGTTTGTTTTAATATCTGAGACTCTTGTTTTTCAGGCATTTGATTTCACTACCACAGACTTGACATCTGAGACTGATGAAATTCCAGATATTATAGCTTTGGAAGAGGAAGATGGAGCAAATCATTCACATTTTAATGGCCTTTCTCAGCAAAATATTGAGTAACAACAACAACAACAATAAAATAATTCCTTTTAGTTGAATACACAATTTGTATCATATTTAACCTCATTTTGCTAGTATGTTTATTACTGTGGCTCCAGGAAGTGTTCATCTGCCTTTTGGCTAGTTCATTCTACTTGCAATGAAACTTGATCTTAATTTTCATAAAAGAGATTTAGTTCTGTATTATATATCATTTTATGTAAGTCTTCACAGTGTAACTGCTAAAATGCCTATAATAAATATTGGTTATGTCATCTTAAATCAGAGTGGGTTTTTTTTTTTAGTTGATATAGTGGACATTCTATTTCTGGGTCTGCCAGGATTCATTCCTGCTTCTTGGGTTAATAGCATTCTTGTGTCTTCAGGGGATCAGTGGTTTGTAGGTCAGGTTTCTTTGCTTTTCCCTAGCTTTTGGGTTGACCAGTGACCACAAGTAGCTTAACTGGAAACACAGCATGATGAAAATGGGAGCAAAATGCTGGGTTCTCACTTTGCTTTGCTGCTTACTAACTCTAAGCAAGCTTAAGCAAGCTACTTAATTTCTCTTGCCTCAATAATTTCATCTTTAAAATGAGAACAATATTAGGTTTGTTATGAAGAACAAGTAGTAGTTACCATTTGTAAAAGAAACCTCAGAACAGAGCCTGCCACAGAGCAGCAGAAATAAGTGGTGTGATGGCTCAACTCGCTAATTCTTCACCTTACAGCTTTGCCATCCCATATGGGCATGGTTTGTGTTCCTGCTGCTCCATTTCCTAACCAGCTCCCTGCTTGTGGCCTGGGAAGGCAGCTGAGGACAGCCTAAAGCCTAGGGATGGTGCACCCATGTGGGAGACCCAGAGGAAGCTTCTGCCTCCTGGCTTCAGATCAACTCAGCTCTGGCCACTGAGGCCACTTGTGGTGTGAATCAGTGGCCGGATGATCTTTCTTTTTTTCCTCTCTGTAGACCTGCTTTTCCAATAAAAATAAACAGTAAGTTAAAAAAAAAATAAATCTTAAACAAAAAATGATAGCAGGGCTGCTGCCATAGCTTTGCCTGCTAATCCTCTGCCTGTAGCACCAGCATCCCATATGGACGCCAGTTTGAGTCTGGACTGTTTGACCTCTAGTCCAGCTGACTGGGAAGGCAGTTTAAGATGGCCCAGTTCTTTGGGTCCCTGAACCCAAATGGGGACCTGTAGGAAGCACCTGGTTCCTGGCCTCAGGTGGAATCAGCTGTGGCTGTCCTGGCCATTTGGGGAGTGAACAACAGGATGGCAGATCTCTCTGTCCTTTCTCTGCAAAATCTGCCTTAAAAAAAATAGTGCTTAGTATAATAGCCTAGTGGCTAAAGTCCTCGCCTTTCATGCACCAGGATCCCGTGTGGGTACCAGTTTGTATCCTGGCTGTTCCACTTCCCTTCCAGCTCCCTGCTTGTGGCCTGGGAAAACAGTGGAGAACTGCCCAAAACCTTGGGACCCTGCACCCGTGTGTGGGAGACCTGGAAGAAACTCTGGGCTCCTGGCTTTGGATTAGCTTTGTTCTGACCATTATGGCCACCTGGGGAGTGAATCAATGGACAGATCTTTCTGTTTTTCCTCCTCTCTGTGTATCTGACTTTCCAATAAAAACAAATCTTCAAATAAATCAGTTAATGTGTTTTTTTTAAAGGTAATAATTGGTTTGCTGTAATCTTTTTAAAAATGCATTCATTTTACTTGGACATTTGGAAAAAAACTACGGTTCACAAGGCAGACCTAACAGCTCATTTTAATCACAGATTTTGAGTGACAGCAGGCATTATGGTGTCACTCAGCTGCTAGACTGCAGGTGTGGAGGAGCCAACACGCTGGATTTAATAGGAACTGTGGCTTTGCCAGATAAATATAGTAGAGGGAAAGTGGTCAGGGTGCTGATGGTGCTTTCATGCTAGGTACAATATGAAAGGACTAAGAAACAGCGAAAAGAATGTCTGGTAGTACTACAGGGACTTCTGGAATAAAGTTAGGAGGGATCGAGCTAGAAAGTGAGGTGGTGGTGGGTGATCCTGACATTAGGTAGGTGTCACAGTCATTGTAATGACAGGTTTGGGCCACCTGAGACACCAACATCCCAGACCAACACTGGTTCAATAACAACTGCTCTGTTTCTGATGCAGCTCCCTCCTAGAGCACCTGGAAAAGCATCAGAAAATGATGCTACCCCTATACACCCCCCAATGTAAACGGGATGCGAGCTAGAGGGCTACAGGGGAGCCGTATGCCAAGAATGATTTCAAGTACCTGCCTGGGTCCCTGTTACATGGGAGAGCTGGGTTGGCCCAGACCTGACTGTTTCTGGCATTTGTGGAGTCAAATCACAGAAAGGAAGACATTTCTATCTTACCCTATCTCGCTGCTTTTTAAATTAAAAAAAAAAACAAAACCCAAAACAAAAACAAAAAACGCTCAGAGGCAAAATAAATTGTTTTGAGTATCTTATAGCTAATGAGAAGAGCTGAGGATGGAACCTACTGTTTTTCCCACTGCACTAAGCCACTTACTTCACTTCCAGTTTTTCACATAACCAGCAAACAATAGCAATTTAAAACCTCGAAGCTGCTGGGCTCCTGCGGAAGACCGACGACGCAAACTCAGGAAAAAGTATTAGGCCGCGCAATGCACTGTGGTCATTGTAGTCTCTCGGTTGAGTTTGACAGGAAAGGACGGCGAGAAGGGCGCGGTGCATGACGGTAGGTGGAGTCCTGTGGGGAAGCCCTCCTTTCCCGGAAGCCACGCAGCGCAGGCGCGCGCCGCTTTTCCTCAAGCGCGGGAGTCTTGTTTTGTGGTGTCTTCGCTTCGGCGTCTGTGGAGCCGTTGCCGTTGGAAGTTCCGTCTCCCGGAGACTTTTTGGCTGTCTGAGGCGAAATGGCTCCGGGGTAGAGAGCAGCAGGCGGTGGCAGTGGAGGGGCTGAGGCGGCCTCGGGGTGCGATCCTTCGGGCCCGCGGTCGCTTGAGCCCGCGCGCCTTCTTCTGGGGAAGTCTCGGCGCCCAGCGCGAGGATGAGCTCCGCCTGGGTCACTGCGTTCGAGAAGGAGCATCTGTGGATGTACCTGCAGGCGCTCGGCTTCGAGCCCGGCCCGGCCACCCAGGCCTGCGGGAAGGTCGTGTCACAGACGCACCTCGGAGTGTAAGGAGGCTGAAGCCCGCGGGGCGAGGGGCCGGGGCGGGGCAGCAGCCCGCGGGGTCCCGGGGGAGCCGAGGACCGTGTCGGCCGCGCCGTATGCGCGAGTGGGCTGCGGCTGAGGCAGAACCAGACGGCCAGCTTAACCCTGCTTTTGGGAGGGACAGAAGTGTGGGCGCCTTTACGAATGTAAGGACTCTTTCAGTAGGATGAACATTAGTTTGTGCGTTTGCCTTTATTTAAAGTTAGGAAGTTAAGACATGCCACGGGTCGCAAAAAAAGAAAAAAGAGGAAAAGTGAAAACCTCTTGCCTGTTTTGACCTTTGGTATTATGATCGTATATTTTAAAATGTTTTGGACCCGTGGGGTGGATGGGCTCTCAGTGTCGGTCTGTTGGATTTTTGTAGTGGCTGTTTCACTGTTGTGCTGAGATATCCGAATCTGGATTCATCAGTGTCCAAACCAGCGTACTGTTTTGCAGCTCTGCAATGTCGGAGCCCTTGCAATTAGCTCACCGACACATACCCTCTTGACATGTTTCAGTCGTATTATAATAATAAGTACAGGCAAAATTTATAACTGTAATTAAACGTCGTTTGGTAACTACTTGTTTACAAGTTACTGTTTTTTCTCTAGAGGTCTGTTAAAAACTGCCACTGGACAGTATTGGATAATGATGATGTATTTGTGGATTCATTTGTTTCACAGTATTTGACGCTGCATGTTAATCTCATTTTCTGTGTACTGGCAGAAAATCTTGAAGCTTCTACACCCCACTAAGAAGGACGCTAAGCTACCTCTCCGTTCCTTTCTGGGGTTTTGTCTTAGTTTTCTTATTGCAATCTTTTCTGTCTTTGAAAATTTGCTAAAATCTGTCAGGAGCTGATCCAGTGATGGAAGTTTTTTTCTTTTATTTTCCCACACTGTCAAAGATATTTCCCTTGTGTGTTTAGTCATTTTGATGGTGGTATTGGGAGGGGTTCTCGATCTTGATGTACAGATGTCCCCTTTAAAACAAATGTTAATCATGGTACCATATGTACTTAGAAATTAATTTTTATTTGTTTACCACTTTATTTTTTTAGATTTATTTTCTTTTTATTGAACAGTCAGATATACAGAGAGGAGGAGAGACAGAGAGGAAGATCTTCCATCTGTTAATTCACTCCTCAAGCAGCTACAGTGGCCAAAGCTGAGCCAATATGAAGCCAGAAGTCAGGAACCTCTTCTGGGTCTCCCACACGGGTGCAGGGTCCCAATGTTTTGGGCTGTCCTTGACTGCTTTCTCAGTCCACAAGCAGGGAGTTGCATGGGAAGTGGGGCTGCCGGGATTAGAACTGTCACCCGTATGGGATCCTGGTGCGTTCAAGGCAATGCTGGGTCCTATTTTGAAAGATTTATTTATTTGAGGGCCCAGCTTGATGGCCTAGCGGCTAAAGTCCTCGCCTTGGACTTTTTGGAATTGGGACCCTGCACCCGCATGGGAGACCCAGACAAGCTCCTGGCTCCTGGCTCCGGATCAGCACATCTCTGGCCATTGCGGTCACTTGGGGAGTGAATCACCGGACAGAAGATCTTCCTCTCTGTCTCCTCTCTCTATATATATCCCTGACTTTGTAATAAATAAATAAATAAACAAATCATAGGAAAAATGAATTTATTTATTTGGCAGGGCAGAGAGAGATAAGTCGCTCAGACTTCCATCTGCTGATTTCCTTGCCAAAAGGCTGCGATGGCCTAGACGGGGCAAAGCCAAAGCCAAGAATCTGGAACTTCATCTGGGTTTCTGTGTTAGTGCAGGGACCCTACATTGGTTTTTTGTTCTTTTATTTATATATGGCAAAGTTCATTTTAGTTTTAAGTTCCATGGATTTTTAATTTCTGGGAGCATATAGTTGTGTAACCTCTTTTCAATAAAAGTTAAATGTACACTTAGGTTAGGATACGCTGATTGCATCCCAAGGTGCAGGTTGAGCATTCCTAATTCAAAATCCTGAAAGCAAAAAAAGCTTCGAGCAGCTCACTTTTTAGATTAAGGATACTTAGGTCATAAAGTTATGCAAATATTTCAAAGTTTGACACATTCCAGAATCTGAAACACTCTGATTCCAAATAATTTGGATATGGGATACTCAGCCTGTGTCTACCCAAAAGATTGGCATTTTGGGAAAAATTACATGAGTTGTATTACTCACGGTGGGATACAGGGAAATGAGGTCTCATAGTTATCTAGGTCTGAAATAGGTAGCAAAATAAATGCACAGAAGAGGTAATTCATTCATTTGCTCATGCAGTAAATATTTATTGAAAAAGTGTTGGGTCTGGATGAGACAATTGCTTCCAATCTTTTTTTTTCCCTTCCTGTATCTGGGGGAAGGGGAGAGCGTTAATCCTAGCAGCTCAACTGCATCAGTACCTGGGGGTGGGACACAGCCACTTGTTGTCACCCTAGGATCCTTGGTGTGGAGCAGGTTCCCAGGGTACTGTGTAAGTGGTTTCAGTAGTTCTGAGGTGTTGTTGATTTTCTTGCCCCAAGACTGAAGAAATCCTTCCAACGTCCATTGATTGACATAGCCCACCTCAAAGTCTCCACTCGCCAGGATGCTTGCTCTCAAAACTTGGCAGGGAGAGTTGTCCAATTTATTCTGCTCTCCATCCTCTACCATGGTACCAGGTGTCCTCTGCAGGGCACAATGAACTGCCATGTTCCCTTTATAAATGTGGGCTTGCTGTCCACCGCAAAGCTTCAGCAACCCAGAGGCCTATTCTCCCCCAACCCCCGAATATTTACTCATTTTTATTGAAAGGTAGAATTAAAGAAGGAGGAGAGACAGAGAGACAGGTCTTCTACCCGCTGGTTCACTCCCCAAAGTGGCTACTATAGCCGGAGCTGTAATTGGGAGTTTTTTCTGGGTCTCCTACATGGGTGCAGGGTCCCAAGGCTTTGGGCCATCCTCTGCTTTCCCAGGCCACAAGCAGGGAGCTGGATGGGAAGTGGAGCTGCCAGGATACAGATTGGCACCCATATGGGATCCCAGCACCTATAAGGCAAGGGTTTAGCCACTGAACCATTGTGCAAGGTCCTGTAGTTTTCTTAATTGGTTATAAATTTACATGAATGAGAAAAATAAATTTTTTTGACCTCTTGAATGAAAAATGTTAATTTGTGTCAGACTTACTTTTGGATCGTATTTGGTTTTATTAATCTTCTTTTCCTGTTCTATTCCCATCACCAGGAACATGTTTGACAAGCTGAACCGTGATGCCTTTCAGATAGTTTCTTATTTTTTGTTTCAAACACTGGACCAATCTCTCGCCAAAGAAGTTTTCAAGTAAGGAAAAATTCTTTTATTTTCTTAAGTAGTCATTCTAACAGTTTAAATATAAATTTTACCTTGCCATAAAGCCACAGTTTTTAAACATTTTTTTAAAGATTTATTTTCGTTTTTATTGCAAAGTCAAATATACAGAGAGGAGGAGAGACATAGAAGAAGATCTTCCGTCCGATGATTCACTCCTCAAGTGAGCACAACGGCTGGTGCTGTGCCGAACCAAAGCTGGGAACCAGGAACTTCTTCCAGGTCTCCCACGTGGGTGCAGGGTCCCAAGGCTTTGGGCCGTCCTCGATTGCTTTCCAAGGCCACAGGCAGGGAGCTGGATGGGAAGTGGAGCTGCCGGGATTAGAACCGGCATCCATTTGGGATCCCAGTGCTTTTGTGGCGAGGACTTTAGCCACTAGACCACCGTGCTGGACCCATAAAGCCATAATTTTTTTTCAGGACTTTATTTTAAAATTATTTTTATTGGAAAGGCAGATTTGCAGAGCAGAGAAGTAAACTTTTCATCTGTGTTTCACTCCCCAATTGGCTGCTCAGCCAGATCTGCACTGGGCTAAGGCTAGAGCCAGGAGCTCTTTTCTGATGTTTGTCCTGTGTGGACGGCAGGTGCTTAGGCACGTGAGTCATCTTCCACTGCCTTTCTGGGCACATTTGTAGGAACTGGGATTGGAAATAGAGCAACCAGGACTGTCCTGCTTTGCTTCCTACTTTGCTGTAGACGTTTCTTGATTTTTTTCAGAGATACATGATATATGTAAAAGCATCAATGGCTGTAGGCAAAAATCATTTTGATTTAATGTAATCTATTATATACTGTTGAATATTTCCTTCTGTTGAAATAATTAGACTTGGTTCTAAGTTACTTTGCATGTGATTTTGATTTGTTTTGCTTGGAAAAAAATTTGTTCAGATTAATCTCGATTTTTATATTGTACCAGCTGCTTTTTGTAATAGGGCATTCTTTTCACTTTTGATAATTATATTCTTTATTTTTTTTAAAACAATTTGCACAGGATAACCTGGGTTTTTTTTGAAAGATTTATTTATTATTATTATTATTATTATTATTGGAAAGGCAGATATACAGAGAGAAGAGACAGAGAGGAAGATCTTCCGTCCGATGATTCACTCCCCAAGTGAGCGCAACGGGTCGATACTATTCCGGTCCAAGACGGGTGCAGGGTCCCAAAGCTTTGGGCCGTCCTCCACTGCTTTCCCGGGCCACAGGCAGGGAGCTGGAAGGGAAGCGGGGCTGCTGGGATTAGAACCGGTGCCCATATGGGATCCCAGGCGTGCAAGGCGAGGACCTTTAACCACTTGCGCCACGGCGCCGGGCCCTATTCTTTATTTTCCTTTATTTTTTGACCTAACTTAAAATTATGAATGTCAAATAAAACAGGTGTATTTAGAAACATGTTTTGGAAATCCATATCACTCAGGTATAGGGATTCTTCTACCTAAATAAAAGCAGCTATTTTGATTTTTCTTGACTGAACATTATGGCTTATCTAAAGCAATTCAGAAACTACAGAAAAAAGGCAAAGAAGTAGAGGTTACTCCTAAACCCATCAACCAGAGAGGGTTACTGTTGGTATTCTAGCTTTTTAGTCCTTTTTTTCTATGCATATTAAAATATTTTGTTATAGAAATAAAAGCATGAGTTATTGTTATTATTTTTTAAGATTTATTTTTATTTTTAATGGAAAGGCGGATATACAGAGAGGAGAGACAGAGAGAAAGATCTTCTTCTGTCCGGTGATTCACTCCCCAAGTGAGCACAACGGCCAATGCTATGCCAATCTGAAACCAGGAGCCTCTTCCGGGTCTCCCAGGCGGGTGCAGGGTCCCAAAGCCTTGAGCTGTCCTCCACTGCTTTCCCGGGCCACAGGCAGGGAGCTGGAAGGGAAGCGGGACTGCCAGGATAGAACTGGCGCCCATATGGGATCCTGGGCATGCAAGGCAAGGACCTTAACCACTTGCGCCACGGCGCCGGGCCCCAAAAGTTTTAAAAATGGTTATTCCTCACTTAATATCTGTCTATCCATTGTCATTAGTTATTTGCCCCAAATTGGATTGGCCCCAATGAGTATTTTAAAAACAAATGACTCAGTTTCTTACCAAGTTGGTACTTTAAGCTGAAAATGCTAGCCTTGTTTATTAGCCTTAATGTTCAAGTACAGGAAATATGTTTGATATAAAAAAATTGTTATTCATAATTCTATTTTTTTTTTAACTAAGATTTTGCTGGCCCCCATTTGACCAAAAAAGTGATACTGAATTCCGGAAACATTGCTGTGAATGGTTAAAAAAGATTTCTGTAAGTATTTTTTTTTGAATATGCAAACTTTAGAATTTTAAAGATTTATTTTTTTTATTATTTTTTCATTGGAAAGGCGGATATACAGAGAGGAGAGACAGAGAGGAAGATCTTCCGTCTGATGATTCACTCCCCAAGTGAGCGCAACGGGCTGATACTATGCCGATCCGAAGCCAGGAGCCTCTTCCGGGTCTCCCACGCGGGTGCAGGGTCCCAAAGCTTTGGGCCCTCCTTGACTGCTTTCCCAGGCCACAGGCAGGGAGCTGGAAGGGAAGCGGGGCTGCCGGGATTAGAACCGGGGTCCATATGGGATCCCGGGTGTGCAAGGCGAGGACTTAACTACTTGTGCCACCGCGCCAGGCCCCGAACTTTAGAATTTTGTAAAGAATCTTTTAGAGACACAATTTCTTTTATTGCCTGTAATTTATACTAGAAATAGAGCTCCTGGGAGTAAATATCATGGTTATTTATTTATTTATTTCAAAGAAAATTGATTTGAAAAGTAGAGTGGCAGAGGGAGGGAGACACAGCAGTATTCCATCTGCTGATTCATACTGCTCATGGTCACAGCAGCTGGGTCTGGGGAGGCGGAGGCCCGATCTCCCACAGGTTCTGTCTTCTCCCCTGGCTGCATTAGCAGGGCGCTGCCTTGGAACCGGAACAGTCAGGCCTGCAGCTGGCCCTTTGATATGGGCTGCTGGCATTTTTTAAAGAAACCTGTTTTGATCATCCAGCAGATCAGCTGTGGCATTATGTTTTTTGTGTGACCAAATTCAGAAAAGTGACAGAATTCAGCTTGTATTTAAAATAGAATGAATTTTGTCCTCTTATTAATGCTTTTGAAATTATACAATGGGAACATGGTATAGTTTGATGCTGGTGATGTGTTTAGACCCCACTGTGGAAGTTGGATACGTCCAAGCCAGTGTGCCTTGAGAAGTGTTGGTGGCTCAGCCGCCACCCCAGCCTTGCTCCGGGGCAAGACTGACAGTGCCCTTTTAATAAAACATGTGAGCAGTGTGGTATCAATGTGAATTATGAATATTGTGAGTCATATTTTCTATTCATCTCTATTTCTTTTCTCCATAGGCTGAGTGTGGAAGCAGTTGGCCTCCCGTTATTGGCTCCCTGTTTCTCTCTCCTGGTGGTCCTAAGTTTATTCATTTGATGTATCATTTTGCAAGATATGTTGCAATGAAATATATTAAAAATAACTCCGAAAGTAAGTTAAAGTAGGAATTTCTTTTGGCTTTGATTTCTAAATTTTTATTATTTTTCACTGTATTTAAATCACCAGATATAAATAAAGCAAAGTAGAATTAAAATATTTACATCAAAAAGCAGATTGTTAATATTCTATTGGAAATGTGATTTGAAATCTTACAATAAAGTAAGTTTGTGTTTACATGTGTGTTCTAATGTCTAGATAAGGTGAAATAGTAAATATTATAGGCTTGTGAAGCACATAGTGTTTGTCTTCTATATTCCTGTTTTTGTTAGTTTTTACACCCTTTAAAAAATTTTTACTTATTTTGATTGTAAAGGTAGAAATACAGAGAGAAAGAGATAAAGGGATAATGATACTCCATCAACAGTTTCCCTCCCCAAGTGGCCAGAGCTGTGCTGACCCGAAGCCAGGAGCCTGGAACTTCTTCCATGTCTCCCACATGGGTGCAGGGTCCCAAGGCTTTGGGCCATCCTCGACTGCTTCCCAGGCCACAAGTAGGGAGCTGGATGGGAAGTGAAGCAGCCCGGACAGGAACCAGTACCTTTATGGGATGCTGATACCAAAGGTGAAGGCTTAATCACACCCCAGCTCCAGCCCCTAGAAAAATGTTTTTAAGCCATCAATTTTTTTTCTTTTGAAGATCTATTTATTTTTGTTTGAAAGGCAAAGTTTTAGAGAGAGAGATGCAAAGATCTTTCATCCATTTGTTCAGTTGCAAATACCACAGCCAAAGCTGTGCTGGTTTGAAGCCTGAAGCTGGAAGCCTTCTGGTCTCCACATGGATGCAGGGGCCCAAGTACTTGGTCCATCTTCCATAGCTTTCCCAGACACATCAGCAGGGTGCTGGCTTGGGAGTGGAGCAGCTGGGACTTGGTCCAGGCCCCACATGAGATGCAGTATCCTTGGGTGGAAGTTTTGTGTGCCGTTAGCCCCTGTGGTGTTCATCCTGTGCTGCATATTATGTCCTGAGGTTATGGTTAGTCTAATACATGTTTTTTAAATGTTGAGTTGATTGTATTTTTTATTTTATTTATTTTTTAAAATTTATTTTGTGGTTATTCGTGATAGAAATTTCTATCTTGGAGGGACTTGATTTATTTACCAGTTCATAGAAAATAAAAAACTTAGGTCCAGTGTGATGACTCAGTTGACTAATCCTGCCTTTGCAAGTGCTAGATTCCATATGGGTGCCAGTTCGTGTCCAAGCTGCACCACTTCACATCCAGCTGCCTGCTGTGACCTGGGAAAGTAGTACAGGATGGCTCAAAGTCTTTGGGACCCTTCGCCCACATGGGAAACCTGGAAGAAGCTATTGGTTCCTGGTTTGGGATTGACTCTGCTGTGGCTGTTGTGGGCATTTGGGTGGAGGAGCTTTCTGTCTTTTTCATGCTTCTCTCCGCGAATCTGCTTTTCCAATAAAAATAAGTGAATCTTTAAAAGAAAAAAATTAATTTGATTGCTTCAAGTCCAAGAGTTAAAGCAGTGCTATTTGTAGCATAATTCATTTGTCCAAGCAAATTATCTTTCAGGAACTGTTTATTTTATTGAATTTTATAAGAGGTTTTTAAGGTTTATTTTTTTATTTGAAGTGCAGGTTTACGAAAGGAGAGAGAAAGAAAGAGGGATCTTCCATCTACTGGTTCACTCCAAATGGCCACAATGGCTAGAACTGGGCCAGAGTGAAGTTTGGAACCTGGAGCTTCTCCAAGTCTAAATGTTTGTGCTGGAAGCCAAAGACTTGGGCCATCTTCTGCTGTTTTGTAGGCACATTAACAAGGAGGTGGATTGGAAGTGGAGCAACAGGAGTTGTTTGGAGTCAGAGGCTTAACTTACTACTCCATGGCACCAACATTTTTTAAAGATTTATTTTTATTGCAAAGTGAAATATACAGAGAGGAGGAGAGGCAGAGAGGAAGATCTTCCATCTGATGATTCACTCCCCAAGTCACCATAATGGCTGGTGCTGCACTTATCTGAAGCCAGGAGCCCAGATCCTCTTCCTGATCTCCCACGTGGGTGCAGGGTCCCAAGGCTTTGCGCTGTCCTCGGCTGCTTTCCCAGGCCACAAGCAGGGAGCTGGATGGGAAGTGGAGCTGCCAGTATTAGAACTGGCGCCCGTATGGGATCCCAGCGCTTTCAAGGCAAGGACTTCAGCCACTAGGCCACGCTGCCGGGCCCAGCACCCACATTTTTTGAAGATATATACATTTATTTATTTTGAAGACAGTATGGAGAGACCTAGAGAGAGAGAGAGGAGAGAGATTCTGTCTACTGGTTCAGTCCCATGGTGACTGGTATTGGGTCATGCCAAAGCCAGGAGCCATCAGTCCAGTTCTCCCATGTGGTGCCTGGGATGCATACTTGGGCCGTGTGCTGCTGGCTTCTTAGGTGCATTAACAGGACCTGGATGTGGGGTGCAGTGTCACGGCTGGCAGTTTAACTTGCTTTGCCCAGTGCAGGCCCAAAACGTCATGGTTCCTTCACAGTGGTTGTGTCTTTTTATGTATATGATGTACTTTTTGTCTGTTTAACCTTACTTTCTAAGATATTGTTTGTCTTCCATTTAGATTCTGCACATTTCATAGAGACATTTAACCTAAAGCCACAAGATTTGCACAAGTGCCTTGCCAGGTGCCACGTAGCACGTAACAGATTTTTACAAGTTTTGCAAAGAGAAGACTTTGTTACTCAAAAATATCAGGAAAATGCACAGTAAGTGATACTTTGACAGCTAGAAAATGATTCTTTTCCCTTTAAACACATGCTATCAATATAAACTCCAAAACAAATTTTTTTTTTTAACAAATTTGTTTTTCAAAATACTGCCTATTCTGTATTTTAAAACAAGGTAAACCTTAAGCATAGTATAAAAGAAGTATTGAGAGAAGTAAAAGCTAATTTTAGTACAAAAAAGCTTCAAGGAAGATCGTGTGGTTAAGCTGCCACTTTGGGTGCCTGCATCTCATTTAGGAGTGCTTGAATTGAATTTGTCATCTGCTTCTGATCCTGCTTCCTACTCCTATACCTGGGAGGAAGCAGATGAGGGACAAGTACTGGGTCCCCTGTGGGAGGCTGGCATAGATTTTCCAGTTCTTGGCTTTGGTCTGCACCAACTTGAGCAGTTATGTGGGCATTTGTGGAATCGTCTTTTTTTTTTTTAAGATTTATTTTATTTTTATTGGAAAGGCGGATATACAGAAAGGAGAGAGGACAGAGAGGAAGGATCAGAGAGGAAGGACAGAGAGGAAGATCTTCCGTCTGATGATTCACTCCCCAAGTGAGCGCAACAACCGATGCTATGCCGATCCGAAGCCAGGAGCCTCTTCTGGGTCTCCCAATTGGGTGCAGGGTCCCAAAGCTCTGGGCCGTCCTGGACTGCTTTCCCAGGCCACAGGCAGGGAGCTGGATGGAAAGTGGAGCTGCCAGGATTAGAACCGGCGTCCATATGGGATCCCGGGTGTGCAAGGCAAGGACCTTAACCACTGCACCATCGCGCCAGGCCCTGGAATCATCTTTCAAAAGGAAATTTCTCTCTGTCACTCTGCACTTCAAAAAAATCTTCCATTTTAATTATGTGTTTCTTCTTTCTTTATATGGAAATAGAAATTCAAGAGTCGTAGTTACATCTGTTTTGTCCTATTGTGTAAATTTTCTGTCTTAGCATGGTGTATTTTTTTTTTAAGATTTATTTTATTTTTGTTGGAAAGTCAGATATATGAAGAGGAGAGACAGAGGAAGATCTTCTGTCCGATGAGTCACTCCCAAGCAGCCGCAATGGCCAGAGCTTTGCCAATTTGAAGCCAGGAGCCTGCTATAGATCTCCCTCGCAGGTGCAAGGTTCCAAGGCTTTGGGCCCTCGTGGACTGCTTTACCAGGCCACAAGTAGGGAGCTGGAAGGGAAACGGGGCTGACACTAACCAGTGTCCCTGTGGGATCCCGGCAGGTTCAGGGTGAGGATTTTAGCTGCTAAGCTACCACACTGGGCCCCATTGTGTATTTTTTAAATGTCTGTTTAGTGTTTTGCTAAGTAGGTACTTTAGAAAGTACCCTTTAAGTATTTCATAATTACTTTATTCATCTCAAGCTGCTTATACTTATTTTAGATTTTAATATTATTTACTTTTAATTATTAATAATAAAATATTTATTTACTTTTAATGTTTCTTTTATTTATCTGAGAGGTAGAGAGATGGAGAGGTTTCTTCCATTTGCTGGATCACTCCCCTGAGGTCCTCAATAACCAGAATTGGGCAAGCTCAAGCCAGAAGGCTAAGCTCAATTGAGGTTCAACTTGGCAGGGACCCTATTACTTAGCAGCCATTTTCTGCTATCTCCCTAGCAGTAAGCCTGAGCAGAAGCAGAGAAGCTGAGAATCACGCAAGTGATGCAGTCTTAACTGCTGAGTCATGCATGTTCCTCCTTAATGTAGATAATCATCCGTGCAGGAGCTGTTCTTGGAGTTCACGTGTCAGGTGCTGTGTAACAATAAACAGCATTAAACAGGTTAGGCTCTTATTTTCAGAGAATAGATTGTGCCTTTATTTTTCAGAGTTACAAAGAAATGTAGAACTTTATTTTTTTAATTTTTAATTTTTGAAATATTGTTTAAATGGTTGAGAGTCATGTGGGCCTCTCTAGGGGAAGGATGGTAACCTTCAAAATGTTTTGTTGTGTATTTATTAAAGCTAGGGAATCCTTCAAAATTATATCAAAAGAAATGTCTCAAGACTAGACTGCATTTAATTAATTCATTTGTTGTTAAAGCTTTGTTTATTTTGGAAGAGTTAGTAAAGAGGGAGAGAGAATGAGGGCGATCTTTCTTCCTCCGTGCCCCTCTCCAGATGAGCACATGGCCAGTGGTTTGTAGGCTGTCAGCGCGAGGCACCTCGTCTGAGGCTCCCATGTGGGTGGCAGGGCCTCAAGCACTTGGTTATCCCTGCTTTTCCCAGGCCGTAGGCAGGACACTGGGTTGGAAGTGGAGCGGCCAGTACACTATCCAGCACCCTTACGGGGTGCTAGCGTTGCAGGGTATGGCTTTACTTACCTTGCCTGAACACTGGAATGACTTAACCTGCTAGGTTTGTGAGAGAAGGCTAAGGGAGCAGAGTTGTCTCATAGACCTTTTAATTCTACTCTGCTGTCCATCTCATAGCAGCCTGTGTGTTAGGCAATTTGTGTGGAATCCACAGTCCTTTTCCTGGCTGTTGGTGTCTCCAAAGACCCAAAGATAGGAAAATTGGAAATATTGGGTTCACTGTAAAGGAATTAAAAGTTGCCATTTAAAAAAAAGTTGTCATTTTGTTTGCTTTCTTGCAGGTTATCAGTTAAGCAGGTGCGAAATTTGAGATCACAATTTATAGGACTGCAAAATCAAGTAAAAGAGTAAGTGACTTAGAGCTGCAAGTTGTTCTAGATAATAGGCTAGCTTTTGTATTTTATAGGAGAGTAAATGAGGATTCTAGACACATTAATTAAAAAAAAGTTAATTAGGTAAATGAGGATAGAATTAAAACATATATTTGGAATCCTTATATAATTCTTCTAATAAAATGTTATTGCTTTGAGCCTGAGTATTGTTTTTGGTTTTAATTGGAATGGTTGTTAATGGGTGAGTGTATAGACTAAGTAGATTTTTGGATGTTAAATTGCCATGTGATTTTTTATGATTAATTATCGTAATTAATTTTTATTAGCATGGAACCCTGTGTTGACCATAGCAATTTGCAAGAGAAAATTCAGAAGGTGAGACAACTTTTGAAGGAACAATTTTATTTTTTTTGTAATGTGTACTGCTTGCCTAATCAATTGAATTCTTAAGTTCTCATTTTGTAATTTTTTTGTGGCACTGTTTTTTTTCTACCTTTGTTTTAGGTGATACATATACATATATATATTTATAAAAAGGTGCTTCTGAAATGCTGGAAAATAATATAAAATTTAGCTTATAATTTGTAGGATTAAATATACACAAAAGCAATTTTCAGTATGATTTAAAACTGTCAGCAGTAAAATTCCTTATTTGTAACTTAATTAGTACTTTTTATTTTGTTTTTATTTTAAGCTTTATGTATACATTTGGAAGGCACAGTTCGCGAGAGACAAGAGTGCCTGCAGTAGCTAGGGCTGCAGGAGCTTGGACTTTTTCCCAGGTCTCCCATGTAGGTAGCAGGGGTCCAAGCCCTTGGACCATTTTTACTGGTTTTCACAGGCCATGAACTTGAAATTGGATTGGGAGTAGAGCAGATAGGACATGAACTGGCATGCATGTGAGATGCCATTTTTGCATGGGGTAGCTTTGCTTGCTGCGTCACAGTGCCAGTCCCTAAATTTTATTTTTGATTTATTTTAGTTTATTTCAAAGAGTTGCGGAAAGAGAGAGACAGAGATCTCCCGTCTGCTGGTTTACTCCCTGAATGGTTGCAACAGCTAGAGCTGGGCTGAGCTGAAGCTGGGAGCCAGGAGCTTGTTCTGGGTTTTTCGTGTGGGTGCAGGCCAAGGCCTTGGGTCATGTTTGACTGTCTCCTTAGGCCATTAGCTGGGAGCTGGATTGGAAGTAGAGCAGCAGCCAAGACTTGAACTGGTAGACATTTGGGCTGCTGTTCTTTTTTTTTAAGATTTATTTTTATTATTTTTTTATTGGAAAGGCGGATATATAGAGAGGAGAGACAGAGAGGAAGATCTTCCATCCGATGATTCACTCCCCAAGTGAGCACAACGGCCGATGCTATGCCAATCTGAAACCAGGAGCCTCTTCCGGGTCTCCCACGCGGGTGCAGGGTCCCAAAGCCTTGAGCTGTCCTCCACTGCTTTCCCGGGCCACAGGCAGGGAGCTGGAAGGGAAGCGGGGCTGCCGGGATAGAACCGGGGCCCATATGGGATCCCGGGCATGCAAGGTGAGGACCTTAACCACTGCGCCACGGCGCTGGGCCCTGGGATGCTGTTCTTGCAGCTATAGGGTTAGCATTGCTCCGCACTCTAATTTTCAATTTTTTAAATTAAGATTTATTTATTTTTATTGAAAAGGCTGATTTACAGAGAGAATTAATCTCCCATCTGCTGGTTCACTCCCCAAGTGATCACAGTGGCCTGAGCTGAGCTGATCTGAAGCCAGGAGCCAGGAAATTCTTCAGGGTCTCCCAGGTGGGTGCAGGTTTCCATGGCTTTGGGCCATCCTCCACCACTTTCCCAGGATACAAGCAGGTAGCTGGATGGAAAGTGGAGCAGCAGGAATGTGAACTGGCACCTATATGGGATGCTGGGGCTTAGAAATGGAGGATTAACCAGATGAGATGTTATGTCCCAAGTAAGTATATTAAAAAAAAGGTATGCTCCTGGTGTGATGGCTCCGTGGCTAAATCTTTGACTTGCATGCTCCGGGATCCCATATGGGTGCAAGTTCATCTCCTGGCTGCTCTACTTCCCATCCAGCTCTCTGTTAGGGAGTGAACCAGCAATTGGAGGACCTTTGTCTCAGTCTCTCCTTTTCTATGTAAATCTGCCTTTCCAATAAAAATGCATAAGTCAAGTTACTACCCAGAGAACATGACTTCTCACATATGACTTGTGTTGTTTTGAAATTTCTTTTTTTAAAAAAATTTTTTTAAAGATGGTTATACAAAAGGGGAGGGAAAGATCTTCCATATGCCTGTTTACTCTCCAGATGGCTGCAACACCCAGGCTTGGGCAAAGCTAAAGCCGAGAGACTGAAACCCTTTCCTAGTCTTATGTGGGCTTATGTTGCTTTTCCAGGTGGACTAGTAGGTACCTGGATTAGAAATTCAGTAATTGGTGTTTGCACCAACGCTCACAGGGGATTCTGGCATTACATGTGGAGGCTTAACCTAGTATGCCACAATATTAGGCCCATTTTGGTGTTTGTGTTTTAGGAAATGTAGGTTGGCATATGCCTGAGATTTTTTTTGCTTTCAGATAAGTATTTTTTTCAAATTTGACTTTTCTGAAACCTGAATCACGCAAGATTAATGTAATTTTTTGCTCTTGAAAAATTTTCTTTTTTTTCTCTCTAAATAATTTTTAAGTTAAATTCATAGCTTGCGAGATCATACAGGAAGTAGTAATTGTACCATGGTGTTCTATATGATTTTTTGGAAAATCCTAGTGAGCTAGATTGTCTTGAGAAATCCTTTCATGTCCCATTGGAAGTAGTAGCAATGCTCTTATTAGTTAAAATGTAGTTATCTAATTATCTCATCAGTAACCATTCTAGAAATACTTTGTTAGAGTGAATATATACATGTTCAGTTATGTCTAAAATTATTTTTTTTTGTATTCAAAGATTCGGTTTTTGTGGGCTTCAGTGAATGAAACACTTAAGATTTTGGAAAAAGAGAGAGAAGTTGTTAGTTCAGTTCTTGGTCTTGCTAAGGAATATGTTTTAGATGGAACTGATGTTGCTGTTAATATTCCAAAACTCCTGCTTGACAATATTGAGAAACAAATTTGTAAGGTAAGTATGAGATATTAGGGAAACTTTTCAGAACTTTCTTTATATAAAAATTTTGTCTTTGATTTTCTTGCTGTGTTTTTCTACTATTTCTAGAACTTATTTTTGTTTATCTGTGTAGTCAACTTTTGTATAGATAGGTACTGTTAAACAGCTGTGTGTATATTTATGTCAGTTGGCTTTTATTATCTGTAATTTGTATAGTAATTACGTTATATTGTGTAGTGGATATTAGGTTACTTAATAGGAAAATGGCACTGTACTGTTTCTTTATAAATTCTTGAAAAAAAATGACCTCCTAATTGCCAGTTGTCCTTTTCAAAATTTTCCATCCTCTGATTTTTGATGCTATGAAGTATTCCTTTTAAAGCCCTTTCTTCCTTTAGCTTTATAGCTATAATATCTGTTTCTGTGTGATTTTTTCAAACTTTTGTTGTCAGCTTTCCCTGTCTGATTCCTTTACTGTTTCTTTTTCTTTTTCGTATTATGAAATAATCTGTGTTTTCTTAGCAGTTTCACAGCTTAAACAGCCTCCTGTTAGCAAATAGGTAATGTGTGACCAACTAGGTATTTCTAGTCTCTTCCCTTTAACTGAGACTTCATCTCATTATATCTGCTTGCTTATATGGGATAGTTGTATCTGGATGGCTTATGCTTTCCTAGTGTAGTTTTTTTTTTTTTTAAGTTTATTTTTATTGGAAAGTCAGATATACAGAAAGGAGGAGAGACAGAAAAGAAGATCTTCCTTGCATTGACTCACTCCCCCAAGTGGCTGTAATGGCCCGAACTGAGCTGATCAGGAGCCAGGAACCTCTCCCACATGGGTGCAGGGTCCCAAGGCTTTGGGCCGTCCTTGACTGCTTTCCCAGGCCACAAGCAGGGAGCTGGATGGGAAGTGGAGCTGCCGGGACTTGAAGCGGCGCCCCTATGGGATCCTGGTGCGTGCAAGGTGATGACAACTTTAGCCGCTAGACTAGTGCACCAGGCCCTTTTATTCTATTTTTCTGCACCTTACATAGTCTGAAAAATGGTGTGACATGTTAATTCTTGCATAGTATTTTTCAGAGAACCAAAGTTATTTATGTAATTGCATGTTTGAGAGGGACAGAGGCTTTTCTTTGTTTTTGTTTTTATTTCACTCTTTAATGGTAAAAAATAGTATGTAATAGTGGATTTTGTTAAGCTTTAGTTATCCCTTTTTTTCTTCTTTGAATCTTTAGTTGTACATAGGAAATGTTTATGAGGATGGCAAATTGAACCTGTTAACAGTTATTCAGTTACTAAATGAAGCCCTGAAAGTAATGAAATACGAACATTGTCAAGCTGACCAAGCAAGATTGGCAATAGACCTTCACTACCTTGAAAAAGAAGCCAAATTTCAGAGGGAAAGATTGTCGGATCTGAAGCACATGAGGTACTTTAGAACTGCTATTTTTTTTACTGTGGCAAGAATGGAGTGGTTTTCTCTGCAAAATTCTTGCAATTAGTAACTATTATCTTTGACAGAAAAATTTAGAGAATTTTACAAGTATTGAAAAACATCGAATCAGTTTCCAGAGAGACACATGAAATATAGAGGAGAATGGATATAGCCTTCCTTGTCTAGAGTAAATTACCTGCCTTGAGTGAAAATACTTTATGAAGTAATTCGGTCTTGTCTCTCACATTTCTTTAGTTGTGTTATCTAGTATTAAAATGAATTTCTGGGAAGTTTTTTTATTTGAACAGAAGTACTGGGGCATATGGTCTTGCCTTTAGGAATGGAGAGTTCGAGTAGAATTTTAACTGAAGTTTAAAACCAGAAATAATTTGATTTAAAAAATAAATGAAATTTAAAAAATGAAATAATAGATGTTGAATTACTTTCTGGTCTTAAAGGTTTTTTTAGGTTTTAAATATTCACTTGCGGGATTCAATTTGTATGTGACATAGTGATTAAACTTTTAGTTCTGTTTCCTTCCCCTTTTGTCATCATTTTCGTCTGTGATGTTTTTGTTTTATGATTTAAATAGTTTGTTTTATACTGTCCTAGGAATAAAATAAATGAAGATGTCACAAATATAAGGCATTCTGTTGCTGAAAAGCAGGGAGAATGGCATAAGAAGTGGACGGAGTTCCTCGGTCTGTCTCCTTTTAGCTTAATTAAAGATGGTGCTGCAGTAAGTTGACTAATTTTCTGGGAGAATATGGGAATATTTAAAAAGTTTGTGGGGGCCTGGTATGGTAGCCTAATGGCTAATGTTCTCACCTTGAATGTGCCAAGATCCCATTTGGGCACTCATTCTATTGGCGGCCCCACATTCCATCCAGCTCCCTGCTTGTAGCCTGGGAAAGCACTCGAGGACAGCAAAAAGCCTTGGGACCCTGCACCTGTGTGGGAGACCTGGAAGAGCTCCTGACTCCAGGCTTCAGATTGGCACAACACCAGCCATCGCGATCACTTGGGGAGTAAATATCATCGGACAGAAGATCTTCCTCTCTGTATTCTCCTCTCTTTATATATATCTGACTTTGCAATAAGGTTAAATAAATCTTAAAAAAAAAAGTTTGTGAAAAACAGTAGAATTAAAGGCTAAGTTTTCTTTTGCAGAGATGCTGTGTAGACGCCTGCCTCTTGTTGGAGTTAGTGCTGGTCTTGGACTCTAGCTTTCTGTAAATGCGCACTTTGACAGGTAGCAAGTGATAGCTCTAGTGTTGGGTCTTATCTACCCATATGGAAGACCTGGATTGAATTCCTAGATCCCCGCTTCAGCCTGGCCAAGTGCGAGCTCTGATTGATATTGAGAGCTGAACCAGCAGATAATAGCTGTTGTTTTCCTTCTTGTTTTTAAAATAAAAATAAATAAAAATTTGAGGGATTTTCAGAAAGTTGTGGAGAATTCATAATTGAAAGTTACATGGCTTTTTTTTTTTAAGATTTATTTATTTTTATTGGAAAATCAGATATACAGAGAGGAGAGAGAGAGGAAGATCTTCCATCCATTGATTCACTCTTCAAGTGGCCTCAGTGGCCAAAGCTGAGCTGATCTGGGAGCCAGGAGCCTCTTACAGAACTTCCATAAGGTTCAGGGTCCCAAGGCTTTCTCAGGCCACAAACGGAGCTGGAAGGGAAGTGGAGCAGCTGGGATGTGAACCAGCGGCCATATGGGATCCCAGTGCATGCAAGGCTAGTATTTAGCCACTAGGCTGCTGTGTGGGGCCCAGAATTTGCATGGATTTAAAGAACATTCTGCACCAAAGTACTTGCCTTGTAACTCCTTTTTTTATACATACTTCATTACACTCAAAGTATAATATGTGACAATATTGATTTATCATGTTATAAATGATTGAAAATTTTGTAAGCAGTTACGTTTGTCATCTTTGTATCTGTGCTTTAAGTTCTAATATTTTGGTTTCTAATTTTTGTAAATATTTTAAAAGTATTCATTAAGCTGCTCTTGTCATAGTATTATCTTTTAATAATAATAAGGACCTTATTTTTATTTAAAAATATTTTAATCTAGAATAGTTTTAATTTGGCAATATATATTGATATTAGATTCAGAATGTATTAGAAGGGAAACAGGAGGTGAGGGGACATGATGTTATGGCATAGCACTTGAGGAATTGCTCATAGTGCCGACATCCCATGTTGGAGTGCTAATTTGAGTCTGGTGGCTGCTGTGTTTTTGATTCAGTGGCCTGCTGATACACCTGCAAAGGCAGCAGATGATGGTCCAAGTACTTGGATCCATCACCCATTTGGGAAACTGAGCTGGCTCCTGACTCCTGAATTAGGACCATTTGAAGAATGAATCGGTGTGGGGCCCTGGTGTGATGGCCCAATGGCTTCTTACCTTGTAAGTGCTGGGATCTTACATGCGTGCTGGTTTGTATCCCAGCTGTTCCACTTCCTTTCCAGCTTATGTTTACAGTGTGGGAGGCAGTAGAGGATGGCTCTAAGCCTGGGCACCCTGCATGCAGGTGTGAGGCCCAAAAGAATCTGCTGGCCTCATGGTTTTTCGTCAGCTCAGCTCTGGCCATTGAGGCCATTTGGAGAATAAACCCGTGAATGTAAGATCTTTCTCTCTTTCTTTCTTTCTGTAAATCTGATCTGCCTTTCCAATAAAAGCCAATAAAATCTTTTTTTTTTTAAGTTTTGTTTTTCATGATTTACTTATTTTATTGGAAAGGAGAAGTACAGAGAGGAGGAGAGACAGAGAGGAAGATCTTCCGTCCAGTGATTCACTCCCCTAGTGGCTATAATAGTCAGAGCTGTGCTGATTTGTAGCCTGGAACCAGGAAACTCTTCCAGGTCTCCCACGTGAGTGCAGGGTGTCAAGGCTTTGGGCCGTGCTCGAGTGCTTTCCCAGGCCACAAGCAGGGAGCTGGATGGGAAGTGGAGCTGCTGAGATTAGAACGGGCACCCATAAGAGATCTTGGCGCGTGCAAGGCGAGGACTTTAGCTGCTAGGCCTACACACTGGGTCTTGTAAAGATTTTTTTTTTTTTAACTTGAATTGCAAAGAGGGGGTAGAGACAGAAGAGGAAAATCTTCCATCTGCTGATGGACTGCTTAAATTTTTGCAATGATTAGAGCTGAACCTGTGCAATCCAAGAGCCAGTAGCTTCTTCTCTGGGTTTCCTCTCTGGGTGCTGTGCCCAAGCATTTGGGCCATCTTCCGCTGCTTTCTCAGACTATAAGCAGGAGCTGGATCAGAAGTGGAACAGCAGGGACTAGAACTGGAACCCATTTGGTGTGCAGTTACCATAGGCAGAGGATTAGCATGCTGTGGCTGTGCTGCAGCATATGTGCAGCTAAATAAATAAATAAATAAATTTAAAAAATATATATCTTATATATATGAAATATATCTATATCTATATATATAGAGAGAGAGAGAGAGAGATTTTTTTTTTTTTTTTAGGAAACATTCTGTTTGAAATGCACAGATTGTTTTCTTCCATTCACTGATTTTTGCCTCAAAAGCTGTCCGGGCCAGCCACAAAGTAGTGGGCCAGAACTCTGTTGGCCTTCCACATAGGTGACAGAAAGCCAAGTACATGTGTCATTGGTGGGCCTTAGTACATCAGTAGGAAACTAGAATCTGAAGCAGAGCTGGGGCTTTAAAAACAGTGATTCTGCTGTGTGATGCAGGTGTCTCAGTGCCTTGGATGTCTCCTCTTCAGAATGTTGTCTTGATGTGAAGAACATGACAATTGAGACTCTGTGGGACAGTGTAATCCCCTCTAAATATAATCTGTGGTTTAACAAGTTGTAGGGTAATACACTTAGTACATACATCTTTGAGCAAAAGTATCATACACTCATAGATTAATTTAGCATTGTTACTATGGTGGTTGGTGAATGTGTTTAAAACTGAATTTTGTCTTAAAGGCTGTGGATCTTCTACCACCTATGTCTCCTCTTTCATTTGATCCTGCCTCAGAAGAAGTATATGAGAGGAGTATTCTTTCCAAGTATCCTGCTTTGCTTCCAGGTTGGTTATTTAATCTTTTTCTCCTTTAAACCCCTTTCTCCCATTAGTATTTTTCAGTATTAAGATTGTTTTCCCTCTTCAGACACTTTTTATTTTGGTGAAATACATAAAACATAAAACTCATTTCAACCATTGAATCTTAAAGGCATTTTGTACATTCAAAATGTTGCACAATTGTCTTCACAGTCTAGTTCTAGAATGTTTTTGTTATCCTAAAAACACCATCCCAGTAGTGATTACACCTCATTTCTCACATTCCCCAGCCCAGGTGCTGGTAATCTGCTTGCTGTCTCTATGGCTTTCTCTGTTTCATATAAACGTGGACTTTTCGGGATATTTTATGTGAATGGACTCATACAGTATGTGGCCTCTTGTGTCTGGTCTTTTATGCTCGCCCAGTTTTTCCCATTACAGAGGTTTCCTGGATACATCCATGTATAATGTATAGGCTTCATCTTACTTTTTTTTTTTTTTCCTTCTATTTATTTGAAAGGCAAAGTTGAATATATAGAGAGACAGACTGGTGAGAGAGAGACAGAAAGACAGACTGCTTCATTCACCAAATGGCTGCAGTGGCTGAGGCTGGGCTGGGCCGTTCCTGCTTTCCTGGGTGCACCAGCAGGGAGCTGGCTCGGAAGAGGAACATCTGGGCCTTGAACTGGCATCCATAAGGAATGATCGCATCCTCTGTCTTTTGTATTCTTTAACCTGCTTCTTTTACTATATTGTGGCAGAAAAACAGGACTCTACTATTTGATCCTAGACTTATTTTTCGAAGGTGGAGTCACCATTTTGTATTTCTATTTCCCATTTTTAAGTTTGTTATTGAAATGTTTGATCTAATAAATAAGTACGTAAGCTCGCAGACATCATAATTATGCTAAGAATTGCTGAGTACTGTAGCTTTTGGGCCTTGTCAACTTAGATAGAAAAGGTAGCTGTGAATTGAAATATAAAATTCAGTGATGCAACACTGGAAAGCTATGGATTATCATATTTTGGAAATGAGCCATCTTTATATAAAATCCAGTTATTAGACATTCTGTATTTTCTGCCACTTATCCTAATATTTAACAATTGAATTATTATGTTTTCTTGTTGGTGTTTTCTTGTTGGTGTTCATGTCATTGTATTTTTTTCTTTTTTTTTTTTTTTTGTTTAGAATTTATACGCTATCAGATCTTCCAGTATTATGTACAAGCATTAAAAGAATTCATTTTTGTACTTTCTTAGATACACCTAAGCAACAGAAGCAAGAAAATGACTGCAGAAGAGATAGAGATACGCTGGGACCTGTACATGATCTAGCCAACAGGTAATGCAAATTTGATTTTCATATTTAAAATTTTTTTTATTTACTTATTTGAAAAGCTAAAGTTACAGCGAGAGAAAGAGACAAGGAGATCTATCCGCTGGTCCACTCCCCAAATGACTGCTGCAGTGAGTGGGCCAGGCTGAAGACAGGAGTCAGGACGTCCGTCTGGTCTCCCCTTTGGGTGACAGGGTCCCTAGTCCTTGGGCCATCTCTCGCTGCTTTCCCAGCTTTGTTAGCAGGGAGCTGATCACAAGTGGAGCAGCTGGGACTGGAACTGGCCTTTTTACAGGATGCTGGTGTCCTAGGAAGTGGCATAACCCACTACACTACAACACTAGTCTGTCATACTGAATTTTTTACTCATATACTTTAGTTTCTTCTTAAGACAGTTTCCAAACTTTTTCAGTATGGGGTAGTGCATAATTTCTCCCTGGTTTTTTTTTTAAGATTTATTTTATTTTTCTTGGACAGTCAGATATACAGAGAAGAGGAGAGACAGACAGGAAGATCTTCTGTTCACTGAATCCCTCCCCAAGCAGCTGCAACGGCCAGAATTGAACCAGTCTAAAGCCAGGAGCCAGGAACCTCTTCTGGGTCTTCCACAAGGGTGCAGGATCCTAAAGCTTTGGGCCATCTTTAGCTGCTTTCCCAGGCCACAAGCAAGTTGGTGGATGGAAGGGTGGGCCACTGGGATACGAATCGGCGCCCATATGGGATACCGGCGTAAGCTAGGCAAGGACTTTAGCCACTAGGCTATCATGTCAGGCCCTAGCCAGCTCATTCTAATTGTATATTATAACAGTAGCAAATAAAAATGCAGAGTGATAGATTAAAGGTTTTAAGATTATTCAGAATTTTTTCTGAAATTTGTTTTTAGTCTTTATGTACTAATGATTTAGATTAGTTCTAGCTAAAAGATACATATTCTAAATTATACTGTCTTTTCAATATTTGCATAGTGTAAGCAGTTCTTTATGTGTTTAATTATTGTGTTAAAGCTTTTTTTCAGGATTTATTCATTTTTTATTGGAAAGGTAGATTTACAGAAAGCAAGAGAGAAAGATTTTTCATCCATTGGTTCACTTCTTGAATAGCCACAGTGGCTGGAACTGAGATGATCTGAAACCAGGAACCAAGACCTGTGGGTGCAGGGTCCCAGGGCACTTGGTGCCATCCTCCACTGTTTCGCTAGGCCACAAGCAGAGATCTGGACGGGAGTTGGAGCAGCTAAGACTTGAACTGGTACCTATTTGGAATGCTGATGCTTGCAGGTGCTTGCAGATGGAGGATTAGCCAGTTGAGCCATTGTGTCAGCCCCCATTGTTTTGGAAAATCCTCACTTACAATGTCTTTGCAACATTGCATTCATTTTATATACTTTATTTTTATTTATTATTTTTTAAAATATTTTTTATTTATTTGAAAGAGAGGCAGAGGAAGGAATGAGAGTATCTTCCATCTGTTGGTTCACTTCCCATATGGCCGCAGTAGCCAGGACTGGGCTAGGCTGAAAGCAGGAGCCTGACGCTTCTTGCAAGTTTTCCCCTGGGAGCAGGGTCCCAATGACTTAGGCCATTTTCCATTGCTTTCCCAAGCGCATAGGTAGGATGATGGATTGGAAGTGGAGCAGTCAAGTCTCAAAAGTGTGTATATAGGATGCTTGTGTCACAGTTAGAGGCTTACCTTGCTGTGCTGGAATTCTGGCTCCTATTTTCATTTTTTAAATTTAGGTTTTATTAAAGGTTTTACTGCTGTGAAAGCTACGTCACTTGTTTTCTTTTGAAGCTACCCTTAGGATTCTTTCCTACAAAATTTGCAACTCCCTTTATTTTGATCTGTTTCAGTGGGCTTGGTGTTGACAAGGCAGCTTGATATAGAATTAGGACAGCCAGGGTTGCTTTAAAATTGTCTCCAATTATTATGTTTGCAGTGCTGATAAAAAATTTCCAATTCAGAAATGGGGGGATATAAAATGCTTCTGTTTTTCTCTGTTACTAGGCTCCATAAGAATTATTTAAATAGGAACACTTGCTGTTACCTTTGGAGCCCCATCTTCAAGGGTAGTTTATACATTGATTTGGTTAGTCTTTCAGTTAAACATGTATTGCCCTACCAAGCAAGGTTAGTTACTTGAATTAGAATATGTCCTCACCATTTGTCGGTAGTGTTTTAGAGTCACTAATTCAGAGAATGCTGACTCTTGCAGAGGGCTCTGATAATTTCAGTGTAAAGTTGTTGCCGAAATGAAGAGGAAATCTGGAGATGAATGATCCTTTGCCTGTTGTATCTGAGTTATTTCCTATTAATGCCAGATCGAAGTGTGGAGTCATTACAGTGATTTTGAGATTGGATTTGGAGGGTAAGGAAGGATTCTAAGAAGTTGTAATTTTAAAAAGTTTGACAAATTGTATTTACTAATACATAAAAATTTAGCACGGCTGTTTATTTTGTTCCACTAGCTGTGAAAAAAAAATGGCAAGAGGGTTGATGTTGACACTGAACTCATAATCCTGTCTTTCATATTACTAGAGGAGAAAAAGCTCTGGCTTTTGAGTTTCATAGATTTTGTTTCAAAATCAAGATCAAATAGTTGCTTTCAGGATATTACGTGTGTGTGTGTGTATGTGTGTATGTGTGTGTGTAAGATTTATTTATTTGAAAGGCAGAGTTAGAGGTTTCTGTCTGCTAGTTCACTTCCCATATGGCTGTGATAGCCAAAACAGTCTGAAGCCAGAAGCCCAGAGATTCTTCTACATTAACCACATGGGTAGAGGCGTCCACGAACTTGGGTCATCCTCTGTTGCTTTCCCAGGCACATTAGCAGGGAGCAGGATCAAAAGTGGAGCAACCAGGAGAGACCAGTGTTTATATGAGATGCAGTGCTTCTTCACCTGCTATGCCGTAGTGCCAGGCTGTGATAAATGAGATTGTAATGCTCATCATTGGACCCAGCGTGGTGGCCTAGCTATTAAAGTCCTCACCTTGAACGTGCCAGGATCCCATATGTGCGCTGGCACTAATCCCTGCAACTCCACATCCCATCCAGCTCCCTGCTTGTGGCCTGGGAGAGCAGTTGAGGACGGCCCAAAGCTTTGGGACTCTGCACCCAAGTGGGAGACCCAGAAGAGGCTCCTGGTTTCCGGCTTCGGATTGGCTCAGCACTGGCTGTTGCGGTCACTTGGGACATGAATCTTCCTCTGTGTCTCTCCTCCTGTGTATATCTGACTTTCCAATAAAAATAAATGGATCTTTAAAAAAAAAGATTCTGAAGAACCATATGATTTTACTGTAAACAGAACAAATTGAGCATAGCATAAATTGATTTTGGGCATGAAGAACCTTAAGTATCAAAAGAATATACAATGAAATATATTGAAAGACATTATAATAATGTAAATATTTTTTTAACCTGTACTGAACTGTTTGAATGTTTATCAAGCTATTTAATCCGTTACAAATAGTATGGATTTGAAGAAACAACGGGTAAGTGAAATGTTCCTCCTTGGGAGGCTGATACACAAATTGGGCTAGAGTACTGCCCGAATTGTCACAGTGCCTCCCTAGAGTAAACTGCCTTTCGATGACCGGGACGAATTGAGTGAAATCGTAACGGACAGATACGGGGCAGACAGTTTCTTTAGAATACTTACATACGTCAGGTGTCTGGACTTCTTCTCTGTTTACAACTTGGATTTCTTATCTTATTTTCCTTTTAGCCCAGCCTGTTACCTGCCGCAGCCAGCCTCGTCATTAGACAAAAACAGTGTTATATTACTTGAAAAGGTACATTGCATTACATTTTTTGAGTAATACCGAACATACAAAACTATGATAAAGTATTTAATTGATATGGCAGGTTAATTAAATCTAATTTCTGTCTTGATGTTTCCTATTATTTGCATATTCTATACATTTCTGTATATATACTGTTATTTACTGGGCATTTCAGAATTATTTAACTTTGTCAATTAGGTGTTATTTTACAGTAATATTAGCAGCTTTTTATGTGTTCATGAGAACTCAGCCAATTCCAATGAAGAAAGCCTCAAGATCAGGCTTGATTACCAAGGTTTTAACATTACATGTCTGGTCTTCTTCAGGATGCAATGATGAAAACTCCCAAAGAGAAAAATGAAATGATTTCTAAGAAAATGCCAGAATTTGAGGTGGAAGATTCTCTGTTATCAGATGTCGCAAAGAGCACAGGAAGTAGTGCATCTGGAGTATCTCTGCCTGCTAAAAGTGATCCTTTCCAAAAAGAGCAAGATCGTCTGGTAGAAGAGGTTAGAAACTGTCCTTAATAAGTGCAGAGAACTGTCTGTGATGTTCTGACTGATATTGGGATCAGAAATGAAATACAATCAGTGGTTAACTTGGGTAGTTAGAGGGAAAGAAGAATACAGATCATACCAATTTACTTAAGGCAAAATAATAGGTCCTCCCCCAAAGGAGAAATTAATTAGTATAAAATTATTTACTTAGAATCACATTCATAATTTTAGCATCTACTTCCTTTTGTACTATAAATACATGAATTACTTGCTGAATGTACCCAGTGACTATGCTTTATTTAAATACTTTGTCAGTATTATCTGTTGCTTAGCTGAATTTGAGTTAAAAAAAAAAAACGCATTATTTTACCATTGAATGAAGGTTTTGTCCCTTTTGCTTCTCATATATTTAAAAATGACTAAGTGTATTGTTTTATGAGTTTGCTTTTTTTCTAATCAGTCTGTCACTTTGTGTGTTCTGCTTCTCAGTAGTGAATATTACATGATAATACTGTTAAGACTTAACAGAACTTAGTGTATGCAAATGAAATACAGCATTGGTTTTTTTTTTTTTCAAGATTTATTTTATTTCTATTGGAAAGGCAGATATACAGAGAGGAGAGACAGAGAGGAAGATCTTCTGTCCAATGGTTCACTCCCCAAGTGACTGCAGTGGCTGGAGCTGAGCCAATCCGAAGCCTGGAGCCAGGAGCTCTTCCGGGTCTCCCTACTGGGTGCAGGTTCCCAAGGCTTTGGGCTGTTCTTGACTGTTTTCCCCAGGATATAAGCAGGGAGCTGGATGGGAAGTGGGGCCACAGGGATCAGAACCAGCGTCCATATGGGATCCCGGTGCGTGCAAGCCGAGGACTTTAACCACCACGCTATCGCGCCGGGCACATTGTTAGTTTTTTATAGTTGTGTTGTACACAACATCGCTTAGCATAGTTTGAATTTGATTAAATAGCCAGTGAAAACATAGATCAGTTGCTCTGTTTTTGAAAGACTGAAAAAAAATTGATTTCATACGTATTGGTATAGGAGTTTTTTCCTGTGTCCAGGAATATGCTGTCAGAATGTACTCAATAGAAGTGTTATTGTGAAAGTGGAAGAAGAATCTGATTTTTAAAAAGTTATTTTTGTATATACAGAGTTGTCAAGTTCAAGGATGTGGCTGAGAGGCCGGCGTTGTGGTGCAATGAGTTAAGCTATCATCTGTAATACCATGTCCGCAGTGGCCTGCGCAGGGTTGGAGAAGGGGCAGTGTGCAATTGAGAAAACAAGAAATGAGACATACACAAGACAAAGACTACAAAAGCGGGCTGCTAGAAGGAAGCCCCTTTCTCTAAAGAGGGAGGTCGACAGAAGGCTTGCTGCCTCAATCTTTTATTAAAATGCTTAGGGAGTCAAATTACAGAATCTGGTGTAGTACAAACATTGGTAGCTACATCCCATATTGATGCTATCCAGCCAATGATTGATGATCAGAAAGCAACATTGTGACCCAAGTACAGAAGCCCAGTATGTGACTGTCTCAAGGATATCTTTTTTTTTTTTCCCAAAGATTTATTTATTTTTATTGGAAAGTCAGATATACAGCGAGGAGGAGAGACAGTGAGAAAGATCTTCGGTCCGATGATTCACTCCCCAAGTGAGCGCAACGGCCGGTGCTTGAGCCGATCCGAAGCCAGGATCCAGGAACTTCTTCTAGGTCTCCCACACAGGTGCAGAGTCCCAAGGCTTTGGGCTGTCCTCGACTGCTTTCCCAGGCCACAAGCAGGGAGCTGAATGGGAAGTGGAGCTGCCAGGATTAGAACCGGCGCCCATATGGGATCCTGGCACGTTTAAGGCGAGGACTTTAGCCGCTAGGCCACGCTGCCAGGCCCAAGGATATCTTAAAGTACACAGTCCTGTGGCCTTGGACCCTCATCCTCAAGGCCTTGGGCTTTTATCCACTCAGACCATTGCCTGCAGAGTTTGACCTTAATTTCTGGCACCAGCAATCTGTGAACTCAAGATTCCAGACATAGTCTGTCCTCTTCCTTATCAAGTCACACTGTTACTTTTTTTTTTTTTAAAAGATTTATTTTTATTATTTATTTTTTATTGGAAAGGCGGATATACAGAGAGGAGAGACAGAGAGGAAGATCTTTCGTCTGATGATTCACTCCCCAAGTAAACGCAACGGCCGATGCCATGCCGATCCGAAGCCAGGAGCCTCTTCTGGGTCTCCCACGTGGGTGCCAGGTCCCAAAGCTTTGGGCTGTCCTCAACTGCTTTCCCAGGCCACAAGCAGGGAGCTGGATGGGAAGCGGGGCTGCCGGGATTAGAACCGGCGCCCATATGGGATCCTGGGCGTGCTAGGCGAGGACCTTAACCACTTGCGCCACCGCGCCGGGCCCACACTGTTACTTTTTAAAACTGCCTATGGCACGTGATGCTGGTGTTACATGTGCGTACTGGTTTCAGTCTCAGCTCCCTGCTAATGCAGCTGAGAAGGCAGGAGAGGATCACTCAAGTGCTTCGGCTCCTGCACTCATGCTGAGACTGGATGAAGCTCCTGGCTCCTGACTTCAGCCTCTTCCAGCCCAATTGTAGTAGCTATTTGAGGAGTGACCAGTGGACGGGAAGATCTTTCTTTCTGTCTCTTCCCTTTCTTTGTAGTTCTCGCTATAAAATAAAGAAAATTTTCTTCAATATTTTTTCCTTAAAGAATTATTTTTATTTGCAAAACAGAAGTCTTCCATCTGCTTGTTCACTCCCTAAATGACCACAACAGCCAGAGCTGAGGTGATCTGAAGCCATGAACCTCAGAATCTCCCATGCTGGTGCAGGGGCCCAAGAACTTGAGTCACTCTCCACTGCTGTCCAAGGCTACAGGCAGGGAGCTAGATCGGAAGTTGAATGGCTGGGACATGATCTGGTGCCCATGTGGAATGCCAGTGCTTGCAAGTGGAGGAGTAGCCCATTATACCAGTGTGCCAGCCCCTAAAATTTTCTTTTGAAGATCCATTTAATTATTTGAAAGAGTTTTAGAGAAAGACAAGGTACAGAGAGATATCCTCCATTGTTGGTTTACTTCCAAAACGGCTTCAACAGCCAGAAATCAAGGAGGTCTGAGTCTCTCATGTGATTGACATGTGTGCTATCCTCTGATGCCCTCCCAGCTTACCAGCTGGAACTGAGGTGGGGCAGCATCAGGACATAAGCTGTGGATTCTGGGGTCAAATACTGTGGCTTTGCCCACTGTGCTATAACCACAGCCCCAAAACAAGTTTTGTTTTGTTTTTTTTAAAGTGTAGCTAATAACAACTTGAGGTCACTGTGCTGTAAAAACAGCTCTTAAACCTTCCCTTGTTTAGAAATTCCTACCTAGGGGCTGATGTTAGAGCACAGTGGGTTAAGCCACTGTCTGTAATAACTTGTAGCTTCTGTTGGAACGCTGGTTCACTTTCCATTTTTTTGCTTCTGATCTACCATCTTGCAGTTGCTTTAGGAAGAGTAACAGACAGTGGCAAGTGTTTGGGTTCCTGCTACCTGTGTATGGAGGCTAAGATGGAGTGCTGGGCTCCTAGCTTCACTCTGTTCCAGTTATGGTTGTTGTTGCCATTTGGGGAGTGAATAGCAGATAGATGGTCAATTCTTTCTTTCCCTCTCTTTGCTCTCTTTCCTTGTCATTCTGCTTTTCAAATAAAATAATTTTTCAAAAACTTCTTACCTGTTTCCTTTGTAATGGGTTATCTGTGACAAGAAAAATTGATCATATAGGATTGTAGCCATGTGATCTATATCTCAGAACTTAATTATTGCTTATTGTTTGTACCATCTGCTGAGTTAAGACTGCTACCTGCGAAGTGTCATTGTTCTTTGAAGGTTTTTGTTACATTCGACCAATGCGTGTGATTATTTTTGTTTTTGTGTTTCTTTTCTGTTTTAGGTTGCCAGAGCAGTTTCATCTGATTCTCCACAGGTCTCTGAAGGAAAGGAAGTAAAATTGGAGGAACTGATTGACGCTCTGGCTTCTAACCCCTTCTTAACAAGGAAGCAAATTCCCCGAACTCCAGAAAATTTAAGTAAGTTTAGAATATGTCTTATTTTTCTTTCTTAGATACGTTACCCCTGTTAGAATCATGGTCTTACTGACGTTTTAGAAATGTGTTAAAGCTGTTTTCAGTGTCTTGGTTCTTTAATCTTTTTTTTTTTTTTAATATTTATTTATTTTTATTTCAAAGGCAGATATAGAAAGGAGAGACAGAGAGGAAGATCTTCCATCAGATGGTCTACTCCCCAAGCAGCTGCAATGGCTGGAGCTGAGCCAATCCGAAGCCAGGAGCCCAGATCCTCTTCCAGACTTCCCACACGGGTGCAGGGTCCCAAAGCTTTGGGCCGTCCTGGATTGCTTTCCCAGGCTACAAGCAGGGAGCTGGATGGGAAACTGGGCCGCTGGGATTAGAACCATGTGGGATCCAGACATGTTCAAGGCAAGGACTTTAACTGCTATGCCATCGCACTGGGCCCATGTTTAAATAATCTTAGTTTATTAGGGTACAAAGGGTCACAGGCTACAGGGTGAAAGTGGGTGATATCATTTGTTTCCACACTAATATAATCATTTTGCCCTGTATCTGGGGTTAGGGGAGTAACAAAGGGAAAAGCCCCACCCTACCTTCCACCCATCCCCAATCCCCAACATGAGGCGCTCTCCAAGGGTCCTGCTCAAACAGTTTTGATAGTTCATCAGTTCTGGATTGCTGCCAATCTCACCGTCCCAACTGCAATGAAACCTATTCAGAGTCCACTGGCTAACAGTCTCTTCATGGTTGGGGTTCCAAGATCAGCAGTTCAGTTGGAGAAATATCCAAAGAAACTTCATCTGAGTTGATCCCAGATCTGATTCTTGAGTGAGTTTGCTAGTACAGACTCCAACACTGTGTGTCACACCAATCAGCTTATGCATATGCTGGTCGTCGCGATTGCTGAGTCCATTCGGCTTCCAGCCCTGTCTTCCTTGTGAACCAACGGGTGTTGTAGTCCAGCTCGATTCTACCCACTTCATACTCGGTCTTCATGCAAACCAGTTGGAGCTGCAGCCTAGTTGGGGCGACTCCCCAAAACCCCTACCAGTTCTGCCCCCTATCCTGGTTCCCATGCTTGCCAGTATGCACCGCAGGCTTGTCCATTCTGTCCCACATCCCATTTAGCTCTCGCACACGTCAATGGACATTGAAGCCTGGTTCCACCCAACCAACCTATTATCCAGCGCATATACTCACTGGCAGGTGCCTTTCTGTCTAGCCACCTCTGCTCCTATCCTGGGTTTCCTGCTGTCCAGTGAGGGTGGTAACCCTGAGGGAGGTGCCCACTATTTCCCTACTAGGCCACACCCACTCCCAGAGTATGCAGTCTCCAGGTTTTGGCATTTGACTTGACAGAATTAGCTCCCAGTACCAGCCTCTGCCAGCTAATGCTGTGGCTAAGCCCAAACACCCCTCAACCCACTCTAATTTTAACTCGCACCAGTCAGAACAGTCAGCTCACCGTGAGGCCCACAGGTGCTATAGCCCTGCCTAGTCTGAACTGCCCCTATCCGTATTCACGCTTTCCAATGGAAGTGTTTATCCAGCAGGGGAGCCCACATTCCCCTGTAGGCTTTGCCTCCTCCCCGATTGTCACATGTGCTGTTTGGGTGCTGCAACCACTTCTGGTACGGCTCATCTCATCTTGGCATTACTTGTTGTGTACTGGTATGTGTTGCAACCGAACCTGGCTCGACCCACACTCTGTTCTGGTGCTCTGATTCACCAGAAGGTAATGTGAACAGATTCAGGCTGGTCTGCCCCCAACCCATGCCATGTGTATGCCAGTGGGATAATTTTCATTGCCTGTTCTGGGTTGTTCCCTGTTGTGCTTGTTGCGCTTACCTGCATAGGACTGTGTCCTGCCAGAGGAGTTGCCCAGGCTCCTCCACCAGAACCTCTCCCAATGCCAGTTTTCGCGCATACCAGTGGGTCCATGAGCCAGCACTACTCAGTTCGCCTCCTATCCTAGGAGGAACAGTGGCTTTTCCTAACTGGCCTTCAACCCAAGCTGGTTCTTGTTGTTGGATATTTCAACCCAGCCATGGCTCTTCCATACCCCCACACAGCTCACACCTGGTTCAGTAAGGGCTGAGACCTAGCCTAGTCCGTCACACATCTCTCCCCAGTCCTCCAGAGCACCAGATCATATTGGAATCTGGCCTGGCTTGGTGCTTCCCGTCCCAGTCCACACTTGTGCCAAGTGAGATTACAATCGTATCCTCATCAGAATGCAGCCTCATTTCCAGCCCATGCGCTCCTTGGTGGGAAACTCAACCCAGCTAGGGTGTCCCGTTATTTTCCCAACCGGGCCTCTTCCCTGCCATAGAGCAGGTGTAGGGCAGTGGTTGTTCTGTCTCTGTTTGGCAGAGCCCCTCACTTGTCCTGGCCCCTTGTATGCTGTGGCTTAGTGCCTCTGCCTCACGCAGATCAGTATATGCAAGGACCTACATGGCATGAGCTGTGCTCTAACCTGATTTCTGTTTCTTGTGAGTTAAGGTTTGTTCAGCCCTGCCCATTCTGCCCCCTTCCAGTGGCAGCCCGGCCCACCCCACATCCTGTTTAAAGATGCACATTTGGGTGCTGCTGCCTTGACCTACCCTGACTGTTTTGGATTCCCTTACCTGTGAGTGATGGCAGGTGGCGTGGTCACACCTAGCTTAGACCATTGCAACTCCAGCTTGCGAGCTAACCCGGGGGACTTGTATTCCAAAGGGTTGGGCCCACACAACCCCACAGAGTCTACCCCCAGCCCGAGTTATCTTGCGTGCTGGATAGTGTCTTGATCCTGCCAAATGTGACCACTCCACAACTCCAACAATTAGTCGGGCAGTGGTATCCAACACTGTCAAAGAGGCCCCCATCCATAGCTTCGGTGTGGGCTAGTGTGTGGCGATCAGTGATGTTCTATACTAATATCCCATCTCTGTATTCAAAATTGAGCTGTTGCATCTGTCTTACTGAAATTATCTTCTGGATACTTCCCTGAAACCACTAGGTCTTGGTCCACTCGCATGCTTAAATCTTTCTTGACCCTGTCATTGAGAATACCCGAAAATTCACTTTGCACCTACACTCAACCTAGTCTTAGTCAGGAGTGACCTCAGGCAGCAGCTACATATCTTGAAAACCCCAGAGTTCGCCCATCTGGGCGACCAGCAGGCAAAGCCTGGCACCATTTGGTGAACTGGCCGCCCTGGGGGTGGCCGAGGACTCGTTCACTGCCTTGCGGCAATGTCTTTGGCATGAGTCCCCCGCGTTGGGTCCGACCCGGCAGGGGCACCCCCCACAGTTGCCACACTGCAGGGAGCGTCAGATGCCCCGATTTTTTGTTTTTTAAGATTTATTTTTTATTTAAAAGGCAAAGTTAGAAAGTTAAAGAGAGATAGAGAGCTTCATCTGCTGGTTCACTCTCCAATTAAGCATGATGGCTGACGCTGAGGCAGTCTGAATCCAGGAGCCAGGAGCCTCTTTGGGATTTCCCTTTCAGGTGCAGGGACCAAAGGTTTGACCCTTTCCCTGCTGCTTTCCCCGGTCATAGCAGGCAGCTGGATGGGAAGTGCAACAGCTGGGACTCAAATAGGCACACATTTAGATACCGACATAAATTTTAGCAATGAGACAGAATGGAGAGCATCAGAGAGCTCCCATGTGCTGGTTCTCTACTCAGATATCCATAGCATCTGGGGCTGAAGCTGGGTGGTAATTCGCATGAATGGGCAGGAACCCATTTACTTGAGTTATCACTGTATTGGCAGAAAACTGGGAACAGGAACTGGAACCAGGAATTGAAATGCGGTATTACCTTGTGGGATGTGACTGACTTAATGACTAGGCTAAATGCTAACTATGATAGCATACAGTTCTGTTTTTTTAATTTATTTTTTAAATTATTGATTACATTGTATTGTGAGACAGTTCCATAGGTACTGAGATTCCCCCCACCTCTCCCCTAACCCTCCCCCCATGGTGGACTCCTCCACCTTGTTATGAGACCACAGTTCAAGTTCAGTTGAGACACCTTCATTGTAAGCATATACCAAGCATAGAGTCCAGCATCTTACTATCCAGTTCTGCTGTTTTATTTGACTTTTTTGGAATGTACTTTATTTGAGCACTTTTTAAAAAGTTCTATGGCTGATGAAGTCTAGATGGGTTAAGTGTATCAGCTTGTGACACCAACATCCCACATAGATGGTGATTCAAGTTCTGGCTGCTCCACTGCTCATCTAGCTCCCTGCTAATGGTCTGGGAAAAGTAGTGTAAGAGGGCTAAGTGCTTAGGCCCTTAGTACCCAAGTGCAAGACCCAGATGAAGCTCCTGACTTTAACATGGCCAATTCCTGGCTATTGTAGCCAACTGTGAAGTGAACCAGAAGATGGAAGATATTGCTCCTTCTCTCTGTCTCTTTCTCTCCCACTCTGAGTATCACATAAAAAAAGATGAATCTTTTAAAAAATTCTCCTTGCCTGCAGATATGATCTGTAATCCACGTTTGGACCAGTAGAGGCTGTGTTTTCGAGCAGTAAGCAGAAGCATCAGCCAGACACTAGTGTGCAGGGCTGCAGGTGAGGCTGCAGTCTGTGATGCCAGCATCTCACACAGGCACCAGGCAGACCATGCTACTCCGCTTTCACCCAATCCCTGCAGATGCACCTGGGAAAGCAGCAAAGGGTCACACAAGTGCTTGAATCTTGCACCCATATGAAAGTTTCAGAAGAATACCAGGTGCCTGACTTCTTCCTGGCACAGCCGCAGCTGTTGCAGCCTTTTAAGGAGTGAACCAGAAGATCGAGGGTTCTCTGTCTCTTCCATTATCTCTCTGGCTCTGTCTTTCAAGTTAACAAATAATTCTTGAAAGCAAAAAGCCATTTTTAAACCAGTGTGCCCTGGAAGCCCCTGGAAAACTACTCCGATTGCTGAACACTTTTTCCTATGTCTTAGGTTTTTTTCTTTTTTTTCTTTTTCTTCTTCTTCTTCTTTTTTTAATATTTATTCATTTTTATTGGAAAGTTAAATTTACAGAGAGAAGGAGAGACAGAGAGAAAGATCTGTCTGTTGGTTTGCTCCCCAAGTGGCTGCAATGGCCTGAGCTGAGGCGATCTGAAGCCAGGAGCTAGGAACTTCTTTCAGGTCTTCTATGCAGGTTCAGGATCCCAAAGACTATGGGCCGTCCTGTACTGCTTTCCCAGGCTACAAACAAGGAGGCGGAGGGAGGTGGAGCATCTGGGGCACAATCTGGTGCCCATATGGAAAACTGGAGGGTGCAAGGTGAGGATTTAGCCACTGAGGCATGTGCCAGGCCCGACTTATTTTAATTAAAAGGCAGAGGAGAAATAAAATCTTGCAATCTCTGGATCACTCCTGAAATGGCTGCAATGCAGAGCTGAGCTAATATGAAACTGGGAACCAGGAACTTCTTCTGGGTCTCCCACATGGGTACAGGGGTCCAAGTCTTTGGGCCATTTGCTGCTGCTTTCCCAGGCCATAAGCAGGAAACTGGATTGGAAGTGGAGCATCCAGTGTATGAACCAACACCATATGCCACAGAGTGGAGCGTTAGCTTACTGTGCCATCATATTTGCCCCATGACTTAAAATTTGTGCTAAATTCTGACATGAGTGTCCTTGCAGAGGCAGATCATCTTGGGCAAATGATTAAATATATTTTTACTTGTGTAAATGATTATTTATTTGAAAGACGGAGAGACAGAAAGAGAAAGAGAGCTCTTCCATGTAATGGTTTATTTCCCAAATGTCCACAAACACCAGGGCTAGGCCATAGCAAAGCCATAAGGGCACAGGGACCCAAGTGCTTGAGCTATCTTTTTATACTTAAAGGTTTGTTTTATTCATTCGAAAGGCAGAACTATAGAAAAAGGGCAAGAGAAGAATATCTGTACTTGTCTGAGCTGGAGTTAGGTGAGGCCGAAGCCAGAAGTTTAAGCAGTTAGGCCATCTTTGCTGCTTTCCTAGGCACATTAGCAGGGATTTGGATGAGAATGGAAGCAGCTGGGATTCTAACTGGTTCCTCTGTGGAATGCTGACACTGCAGATGGCATCTTAATGTGTTGTGGCCCAGTGCCAGTTGGGCCAGCATTTGGTGCTTCCCAGGTGCCTTAGAAGGGAGTGGGATTGGACTAGAGCATTAGGGTCGTGAACCAGTGCTCATTTGAGAGGTCCAGGTAACAGGCAGTGACTTAATTGCTGCACCGCAATTCTGGCCCCTGAATAATCCAATATGATTTCCTTTTGCTAGTGATTGAACTCAAGTTGAACTGAGACAGAGCCTATATGACTGATGGGCAAACTGTAGCTTGTGAACTAACTCTCACCCTGTCCTGTTGAATTTTTGTTAAAAGAAAAATGTATTAAAGACAACTTTTCTCATTTGTGATTGTATTGTTTGAGCTGTTTTCATGCTGTAATGGCACAGTTGGATAATTGAGAAAAACCTGATGGACTGTCTACTGTGTCATTGACAAAGCTGTTACAATCAGGACAGCTCTGAGTATAGAGCAGACATTTCAGTAGAAATTCTAAATAAGGAGGAAAAAGGACCTGAAACATTTTTTGAAGAACTGTAGAATCTTGCAGTCTTCATTTAGCTTTTTTTGATTTTTTTTTTTTTGGTTTGGTTTCTAATCTTAAAATATCTTGAAAGGCACCAAATTTTCTTCAGTTAATCATGTAAAAAAAAAAAGGTATGGTTAAATTTCTAAGATCCTGGTGCTTAGATATACATAAAGTAGCTGGATTAGTGTTTACAAAAGTATTTTGAGCTTCATGTTGCTTAAACTAAGAAATAATGTTTATGTTTTTATTTTTATCTTTATTTCATTTTCCATGAACTTCTAATTCTATATTTAGTTGAAAGGCAGAGAGACAAAGACAATCCAGAGAGAGAAAGTTCTTATATTACATCCAGTGGCTTACTGCCCAAACAACTGTAAAAGCTGTGGCAGGGCTGATCTGAAGCCAAGAGCCCAGAACTCAATCTGGGACTCACATATATGAGCCATCATCTGCTACCTTCCAGGATGGTATTAGGAGAAACTGGATTAGAAGCAGAGGCAGAACTTGAACCCAGGTACTCCTGTGTTGCATGCCAGCATCCCAAGTGGCAGTTTAAATGCTATGCTGAATATCCATGTCCCATGAACTTTTTCAAGTCTCCTCATTCTGCTCTACTATTTGGTCCTTTAAAGAAAAAGCTTGGCCCCAGTGTGATAGTGTAGTGGCTAAAGTCCTCGCCTTGAATGCACTGTGACCCCATATGAGCACTGATTCTAATCTTTCCTCCACTTCCTGTCCAGCTCCCTGCTTGTGGTCTAGGAATGCAGTCCAGGATGGCCCAAAGCCTAGGGGCCCTGCACCTACGTGGGAGACCCAGACGAGGCTTCTGGCTCCTAGCTTTGGATCGGCTTAGCACCAGCCGATGCGGTCACTTGGGGAGTGAATCAGCGGACGGAAGATCTCCCTCTCTGTCTATCTGCCTTTCAATAAAAATAAATAAGTTAAAAAAAAAAAAAAGAAGAAAAAACTTTCCAGGAAAGTGTTTGGAATTCATGAGAGTCATGAGTGCCATATAAAAATCTGTGTTTATTTCAGAAACACTTGTTATTTGTATTTGCCTGTGGGTTTTCATTTGGAGGTGAAGTTTTTTGATGTTAATGTTTGTTGTTTAGTGGAGGCTTGTCATAGAATCACTGTATTTTTGAAACTCTGAATCAGTAGCTCTGTCTTCATCACTAGAAATAAAATGTTTAATCGCATGCTCTATGTTTGAGAATATTGGTAAATTGTGTCAGTATGTTTTAAGTAAATTTTCTTTTTCCTCCTTTTTTTAAATTAGTAACTGAAATTCGGAGCTCATGGAGAAAAGCTGTTGAAGAAGTGGAAGAGAACAGAACTATAGAACCAGTTCAGATGGATATTGAACATAGAGAGGGATTGTCAGAATCATCATCTATGTTACAGAATGAAAGCAAAATTAGCAGGGGCTGTTTTCTCTCAGCAGCTGCTGTTTCTAATTTTGGTCCATCTCATTTGCCAGAAAATAAAGGTGTTTCCGATTGCCCTAGTAACGTACCACAGAAGTATCTGGAGACCAGTTGGGTATTTGAACCAGCAACACAAAGTCAGACAGATTCGTTGAATTTAAAAGTAGCTTGTGAGCAAAATGCAGAAGATACAACTTTACCAACAAAAGTTTCTGAAAACAGCCAAACAGAGGCATTTTCCCCTGCTGCAAGCAATAGGTTAGATCTGATGGGTAGCAGGGAAGAGGACTACATTAAAACAATGGACCACTCAAAAACTTCTTATGAACCTTTCATGCATAAAACTATGTTATGGAACTCTTTTCAAATATCAAGTGAGATGAATTCTAGGAATTTAAAGGATATGGATTTTGGCATATTACATGAAACTCTTCCAGAAGAGATTGGTCACTTAAGTCTTAATAGCTCCAGTAGTTCAGAGATGAATTTTAAAGTGGAACCTCATAGAACTGTACACAGTGACCTTTTTCCAGCTGATTTTCTGGGAGAAAGACAGAGTCCTCCAGAATCAGATTTCAGTCTGCAGGCTATTTCCAACAGTTTTGAGGCTTTGAAGAAGTCTCTTTCCAAGCAGAGGGAAGAATCTTACCTTTTTAATCCGGAAACATTTGAAAGACACAAATCAGAATGGAGCCCTAATCAGAAAAACGTAGAAGCAGATGAGATGCTTGACTTTCTGGGCACTCAGGATTTGCACATTGACTATTCAAAACCATCTCTGCGCATGTCTGTTGGAGAAAGAAAGCGGTCACTTTCACCACTAATTAAGTTTTCTCCAGTGGAACAAAGATTGAGGAGCACAATACCAGGTAGTCTTGGAGAGTTGCTACCTAATTTAAAAGGTAAGACTTAGCTAGATTTTGCATATTTTTTTTTTGTAAAAATTATACATAGTTAATATTGTGCAATCTTTGATAATGTAACAAAATTTGCTACTAATTTATTCATGTTCCAGGATGAAAACAGCAAATCATGCATATATTTGGGGTCTCTGTTGCTGTGTTAATTTATAATTGGGTTTGGGGCACAGGTAAGGAAAATCCATGAAAACCAGAACTTAAAGAACATCAAAAATCTAGTTGTAGTAGAAAATGAATTTCAAAAAGTTTAGAAACACTGTTTTACTATTGCAGTGATATTTTACCTGTGATTTGCTTTGAAATAAGTTTGGTAGTGGGTAAATGAGAAGAAAAAATAGGAGTGTGGTCCCAGTATAAATTTCCTAGGGTTTCTGTGACAAAATACCCACAAACTCTTTGGTTTTAAATCAATTAATTATCTCTAGAGATCTTAAGTTATGGAGGCTAAGAGTCTCCAATTAAGGTCTTGGCAAGGGTCCTGTTCGTTCTGAAACCACTAGCAGAGGGTTCTTTCTCACTTCTTGGAGCCTTTGACCTCCCTAAGGCATTTCTTGGCTTGTGACATTGTAGCTCTGACTTTGGCTTCCATTTCTAAGTGGTGGTTTTATCTTATATCTATGTATATCTTAAAATGACATTAACCATGATAGTGATTACATTGCAATGACTATATTTCTGAACGAACTCATTCAGTTGTTAATAGTTTAATATATACCTATCGGGGGGGGGGACAATTATAAACATTCAGTGTTAGTAATTTTTGAAGCCATGTGTTGGATACTTTAATCATAGTTTAAACTCTTGAATGTTTCTTAATTTTTAAAAACTAGCAGTATAGTATATTAGGACAGATAATATTTGTCGATGATAACTAAAAAACTGGTTCTTTGATAAGTATTCTAGGAATAATGTACCAAATCTTGAAAAAAGATGCTTTGGTGATAATGAAAGTAATCTTACCTTGACAATGAGTGTTTTATTAGATTGAACTCTGTCCTACTTATTTATGTTTCTTTATAATTTTTTTTCATCAATTTTGCAGAAGAAAGCTTGGGAAAGAGCCTTGGTGCAGAAGACTCTCTTTTGGACTGGACAAGATGAAGCTGTTCCCAGTTAATTTAATATGATGGTGCACTTAAAGGGAAATGTTGTTACACAATGGACACTAGTGTATAAGTTAAATACACATTTGAAGTGTAACTCTTTTCAGCTAAAAATCAAAAATGCCTTTTAGCCCTCTGTAATGTTTTTAGATAAGGAAACTATTTGTATATTTTCTTTGTAGAGATAGGGGAGTTGAAATATGAAGTGTTTAGAAAGCATATGTCAAGTTATGGGAAGGTATTTTGAATAATCTTGTAATCATTAAGTAAATGACAAAAATACTTTGAGTTATGTTATAGTTTCAATCATTTAACATCAGGATGAGTAGTTTTTGGTATACTTTTATTAAGTGGTTAACATTATAGCCATTGAATATCCTTTCGTTTTAGGGAAACAACTTTTATTGGTTCTTTATGGAACATTCTTGTACTAACCCTAAAAAAAGTGAGAAAAGTATTGTCTTAGGAATTGTAAAAAAGATGACAAATTAATGATTATTCAAGTAGGTTGATCTTGAGAAATAACATTTGATGGAATAAACTGCATGTGAAGATGAATGAGGATTAGGGCAGAATGTATTTGGACCAAGGTGGAGGCACGTGGCCGGACACCTAAGGAATGCTGTCAGTTTGTGATCTGTTATGTGGGTTGTCCAATAGATTTTGTATTTAGTCTAATTTTGACATTGAGAGGTTAATCCTAGTTTTATATTTTAACAAAAATGTAAATTAAAAGTTTATGAATCTGTTTTGTGGTTGGTTTTCTTGTAAAGTGGGGATGCTGTTTTTAGGAAAACAGCAGTCTAGTTTCCACTGTTTATTGCTCAAAGCTATTAACATTTTCCAATGTTGATGCGTAAGAGACACAGAGAAAAATCTTCCATCCACTGGTTTGCTGGAGTCCGTGTGATGGGGGTGGAAGACAGGAAGGTGTGAAGAGCGTGGCTCCATTGCAGGCAAGGTTGCAAGGAACTTCCCGCTGTGTGGCAAGGCCTGGCGGATGTCTCTACAACACCTGAATGTGGCTCTGCCTCCCTTTGCATGGACACCAGACAACCCCACTGAGAATTCTGTAATCTATTTAGGCATTGCCTGCCTCTGCGGAGTTACTGTTAAACGTCAATAGGAACTTAGAAGCTAATGTTGCTAGTGCCGTTTTTAGCCAAAGAGCTATTATCGCTGTTAGGGCTGCATCCTGTGGCGATATGCTAATCAAGGGTACTAACTCCCCTTTTGATCCTATGCTAATCAAGGGAGTTCTGCCTTCAGGTGTAGTGGGAATCTATTCTTTCCTTCTTCTTTGATCTTTTAGGCCCCTTCCTCCCTTGACTATCTCAAGACCAATTGTGGTAGGAATGTGCTACTGACTGATATGCATCATCTGTTGAAAACCTTTTCCTAGCCAGGCTCCAGATGCCAGATGAACAGCAACCTAGCCTTAGGTGAAACAAATGGCAGAGTTATCTTTAGAAACCCCCGCTTGAGCGTGACGTAAAAAGCCTGAGCCAGAGTTTGACTGATTTTGTATAAATAAAGCGGACAGCTTTTGTGCGTGGTCCATTATGATGATGAAGAGTTACTAGTGGTCCGTCTCTTTCTTTGCGCCTCATCCATGCACCCTTCGCGAGTTCCGAACTCAGCTGGAGCTGGACTCCGGCAAGTGGCGCCTGAACAGGGACTCGACGAAGGTAGGTCTTTTCTTTCTCTTTGCGGCGTGGATAGGACTTCACCCAGGGTGCTGCAGGCCCCCTGACAGAAGGTCAGGTTAGGAGGGGTGAATAGTCAGAACTTATATTGAGAAGTTGTGTACCCTCTGTGCTGTAAAAATGGGCCAGAGCGATTCTAGTGAAAGAAGTTTATATGCTGATATTATTAAACATACCTTACATAGGAAGTGCATTAAAGTTAGCAAGAAGCAATTATTAGAATTTTTACAATTTGTACAAAAAGTTAGCCCATGGTTTATTGAGCAGGGCACTTTAGAATTAAACACGTGGGACCAGGTAGGAAATGATATGAGAAGGTGGTATCGGAGTAATGGACGAGTGGGCATGCCATCCTCTGCATATGCCATTTGGAACGTTTTACGGCAGGCACTAGATGCGGGTCCTGAGCCTTATCCCGCGCCTTCAGCTCAGCAGGGAGAACATACTCCCCTTCTTGATCCTCAGAAGGGAAGCTTAGGCCTTAGTTATAGCTCAATGGAAAGTGTCTGTCCTGAAGATAATGTAAAATATCGTAAAACTGATCAGGAAAGTTTAACAGATGAGGAAGAAGATTTTTTAAAACCAGAAATATTTAGATCAGGAGTTAGAGATTGTGAAAAGGGGCAAATGGCTGAGTTACATGATAATAGGTCTCCTGCTGTTGATGATAAGCCTTCAAGGTATTCTGCTAAGCCTTGTGAGCCCCTTCCACCTAGACCAGATCCAGCAAAGATTGGCTTTAGTGGGGCAATGCAGCAGGCACATAAGGAAGGTGATTTTTTCTGTTTTCCTGTTGTCTATGAATGCGATGAACCTGAATGGGAGCCGTTGCCTTATAAGCTTATTAAAGAACTAAAGCATGCTGTCTCTGACTACGGGCCAAACTCCCCGTACACTATGGCAATAGTGGAGAGCCTAGCAGCAAAGTGGATGACTCCTTATGATTGGTTTCAGGTTGCTAAGGCTTGCCTCACTGGCGGAAACTTCCTTTTGTGGAAAATGGAATATGAGGAATTAGCTAAAGCAGAAGTAAAGTCTCAGAGATCTGTGAGGCATGGCAAATTTTCTTTTACCTTAGACATGCTTTTAGGACAGGGCACTCATCTTGGTGTTTCAGAACAACTTACTCTGCCTAAGGAGACCTTACAGCTTATCTCCTCCCTGGCACTAGGAGCATGGAGACGCCTGCCATCTCCAGATCAAAAGTCTCCAGGTTTTGTAAATGTTAAGCAGAAGCCTGAGGAGCCTTTTGAGATTTCGTAGCTAGACTCACCGAAGCAGTGAGCCGGACAGTAATTAACAATACAGCTACAGATCTCATAGTTAAACAGCTAGCTTTTGAGAATGCTACTCCAACTTGCCAAACCTTAATTCAGCCAGTGAGAAGGACAGGAGATTTGTCAGACTATGTTCGAGCTTGTGCTGAAGTAACTCCATCTTACATGCAAGCGTTAACTATCGCTGCAGCTCTTCAGGGTCAAACTGCTACTCAGATTTTAAAGAACATAAGAGGCAATCAAAGAAATAGAAAAAGAAACAATTGCTATTCTTGTGGTGGAGTAGGGCATATCAGCCACAGCTGTCCTGCCAGAAACTCATCCCAAAATTTCAAACAGGAAAAAACTTATAGGGACACTCCTAAATCCAATTTAAATATTCCTCGCACTGTCTGTCCGCGGTGTGAGAAGGGATTTCATTGGCAAAAGGCTTGTCAGTCTAAATTCCACAAGAATGGGACAGTTCTATTGCCTCGCAGTCGATCTAAATTGAGTAAACAGTCTGTACAGGATGAGATGCAGGGAAACGAGAGATGGGCCCTGTCCTGGGCCCCCCAAGTAATGAGGACATGTATGGATATTGTCTCTGAAAGGTACAAAACTAAAATGATGAGTGCTGCATTAAGCAATGGTTTAAAGCAAAATAGATCTAAATGTCATAATTGTGGCAAATTGGGACATATATGGAAAGATTGTAGGAAACGAAATACCCGAAAATTGGTGAACAGGTTATGGGTTATCTAAAAGCCTGTGGTAACATGGGGACTTTCAAACACCCTACTCACCTTGCAAGGTTTCAAACCACTGCTATTCAGAAGCAAATGAATGCTAAGTGTTCTAACTGTGGGAAACCCAGCCACCTTCCAAAACAATGCCGAGCAACACCTCTTTTAGCTCAAAAATGTGGCACTAATACTGTTAAGGATCAGTGCCCTAAGATAAATTCTAAATGTCACAGAGGTGTACATTGGGCAAAAGTATGTAAATGTAAATCTAAAATTGATCATGATGGCCAGCGCCTGTTGTCAGGAAACTCCTGGTGGGGACAGTCTCAGGCCTTGAATAATCAGAGGTTTAAGAGACAGCAATATTTTACCCACGCTGTGCCTATAGAAGAGTAACAGACTTAAAGTCTGATATTTGATTATGGAAATGCTAATTAAAAGTTGGTATCTTCCTTGGCAATTAATTATACTACCTACTGTTCATACCCCAACTGGATGTTTGTGACAAGGGTCTTTAGAGTGGCTGCATCTCCTTTCCATGTATAAAAAGGTTATTACTCTTTATTGTGCTTTGGTCTCCACCTTAATTATTAAGAGATATCATAGGAATAGGAGCCTTTTTGCAAAGATGTAAATTAAATAATTATTCCTTATAGCTCTTAACAGCTTAGTTATCTAATATCCAAGGATGAGACATGACAAATAGCATTCTTAACCCTTGTAGGTACAATTTCATACCATTTAACTAAAAATCTCCTTGTTAAAAGTCATTCAGTTATATTTCAAAAGATTTGTTCCTTGACTCCTTTGTTTTTAATCCCTTTTTTGTTTCCTTAACCTGCTTCTTTAGTCTTTACAGATGGGTCATCTAACAAAATAGTTTCTCTAATCATAGATTTTGAAAATATCCTTACTGACCAATGGAAAGAACCCAATTTCCTCTTAAAATTTGGAGGAGGGAATGCTTTCATTTTTCCACAGGTCACGGACTTGCTGATGTGGATTCCAGATCGACTGATTAGGCATCCTTGCCCAATTTACATTTTGCAGCGGCAAGCATCCTCTACTGAAGTTCCTCCTCCTGCCCAGCAACTTCAGGGTTAAACTCTCTTCTCTCCAGCAGGTACAATCTCTCCCTGACCTCCTCCCCCTCCTCTCTGTTAGGATACTCAGCCCACAGATGCAGTTTCTCCAGGACCTTTTACTTTTTTTTTCCTTTGTCAAGCCTACCACCTCCAACCTTTTTTAGCCAAAAGCAGCAGGGTAGGAGATAAACTAACCTGGGTCCACAGAAAAATATCTAACATCTTGTACTTTATAAATAATGTTTTCTCATAATTAACATCTCTTTTTTAACTCTATTGAATCTTTATATTGAATTTTTGAATTTTATGAATATAACTCTTAAGGTATTGTTTAAGACATTTCTTTAAAAGTGTAACATTTACACCAAACATAAATTGGAATCAAAGTAACATCTAATCCATTGTTAAATTTTTTCCAGGTATGGGATGCACCCATGCTTTTATCTGCTAGTCTTTATATTTAGATATATCGACTTAAAAATACTGTTTGCAGCGTTTTCTAAAATGTTCATTATTGCTTCATGGAATTAAAGTCTGATCCTCTGTTATTACAACAAAGTTTTGAAAGCACATATTATGACAGCTCCTCTTAATTGTTTTTATCTAATTAATGATTAAATCTTTCTAGTTAGCTCCAGTGAACTCCAGACCTGACTTTGTTGAAGTGTCTCAGCATATAAGATTCTATGTTGAAGTGATCTTTGTGTTTTCTGCCTTTCAGTATGTTCACATTGCTTCAGATTGATAAAAGTTATGTACTTATTTTATAGGTATTTAAAGTGATCACTTAATGCCAATAATTACATCTCATCTATATTGTGTTATATAACGAGATTCCATTTCAACTAGATGTTATAAATCTTGACATCCTTTATGCATTTTAAAAATTCAAAAGTTTTACTTAGTAGATACAACTGAGTAGGCATTTGGATTGTATTAAAGATACTGTCAGATG